TGAAGGAGGGTATTTAAGGGAATATACTTGGAAATAACCTAAGATTCTCTTTCTTTAAAAAAAAAAAAAAAGATTTATTTTTATTTATTTGAAAGAGTTACAGAGAGAGATAGAGACAGAGAGAGAGGTCTTCCATCTGCTGGTTTACTCCCCAAATTACTCCAATGACCAGAGCTGCGCAGATACAGAGCCAGGAGCTTCCTCCAGGCCTCCCACATGGGTGCAGAGGCCCAAGGACTTGGGCCATCTTCTACTGCTTTCCCAGGCCATAGCAGAGAGCTAGATCGGAAGAGGAGCAGCCAGGACTAGAACCAGTGCCCATGTGGGATGCCAGTGCTTCAGGCCAGGGCTTTTACCTGTTGTACCACATCACTGACCCAAGATTCTCTTACATAAGAACTCACAGCAATATGCAATTTTCAATGGCTTTCCCCCAAGTATTGTCAGATAACTTGATTTCAAAGTGTGCCATGGCAAGTTCCTTCCAGTAGGCCCCTCTGGTTTATTTGGGGGCCCAGAAGAGGACAAGGCTCCTATTCATGACAGCAGGAGGTCTGACCAAAGATACTGGTCTTAAGTACTTAGTATGGAGCAGGTCTTCTAAAGAAAAAGGAGCTTACGGGTGCGGCACTGTGACGTAGCAGGAAAAGCCGCCTCCTGCAATGACATAATTAGTTAAGAATGAGAGCTGTGTCCCCGAGGAGGCACGTGTGTAAAAGCAGATGCCATGGCTTTGCTGTCTGGTCCCCTCTCACTGCAGTGACTTTAAGAAGCAAGCCGCAGGCCAGCACCGCAGCTCACTTGGCTAATCCTCCGCCTGCGGCGCCGGCACCCCAGGTTCTAGTCCCAGTTGGGGTGCTGGATTCTGTCCCGGTTGCCCCTCTTCCAGGCCAGCTCTCTGCTGTGGCCCAGGAGTACAGTGGAGGATGGCCCAAGTGCTTGGGCCCTGCACCCCATGGGAGACCAGGAGAAGCACCTGGCTCCTGCCTTCGGATCAGCGCAGTGCGCCGACCATGGCGGCCACTTGGGGGGTGAACCAACGGAAGGAAGACCTTTCTGTCTCTCTCTCTCTCTCTCACTGTCTAACTCTGCCTGTCAAAAAAAAAAAAAGGCAGGCCACACGGCTTTTTCTCACTGAGGAGCCTCTGTCTCGTGCTGTGTACTGGGGCACCCTCTGCTTGCCATCTCTGTCCTCTTTCAGGGCCACTCTGAGTAGACCCCAGGATTTCCAGGAGACATTTTCAGGCAATGGGAAGACACAGAATTCAGTTACTGGACCCCTTGAGGTTGTCTTTGTCCCCGCTCCCAACACCAGTCTTTCAGTCTTCCTGTTTCTTTGATCCTCCCTCCTTGCCGCCCCCCCACCCCACCCCCCACCCCTACACACACACACTGTTTTGCTTCTTCCACCCTCTGCTTCCTTCCAGCTCAGCTCTATGTCATGGTCGCAAAGAACCAGCCACATCCGACTCATCTGTGTGTATTTCAGCTGAATCATTCCTACAATTATAAAAGTATTCAGGGCAACAGACTTAAAGTCTTCCTCACCACTAAACCAAAAAATATGATCGGAGATTATATTCCCATGTGTCTACCTAGAATATTCTATAAATTGCATGGATTTAAGGTAACTTAGCCTAGGAAAAATGTCCATTCAAATTAGTCTGCTTGGCCAAGGCCAGGGTATTTATTGTAAAGTGCTCCATGATACTCGAAGGTAGTTTCACCAGTGTTTCTGTGAGTTCTAGCTTTCTCCACCGAGGGTGAAGGGCTTGGCCCATTACATAGGACTCAGCCAGCTCACCTGTCAGCTCACTGCCCTGGCCTGCCCAGTGCTCCTACCATTTATGATACGTGTGTGTGCTTGACAAGAAGGGGGTCACACACGCTTGCTCCTCAATCTCAAATTGCCAGTTAGACTTGGTGTTTGTAATTTCATAATTGACTTTAATATTAAGGAAACGGAGGACTGTGGAAAGAAAACTGTTGTTTCTAATAAAAGCAAGACTTCTGCCTTGGAAAGAAAAAATGATAACTAATCTGCAGAGGGCAAAACAGCTGTAAAAGATTGGGCTTGGAGGGAGGAAGACCCTAGAAGGTGCCGTGGTCCGCTGGGTGCTAGGACAGAATTCCGTAGCCTGGAGAGCTCACAGACAACGGAAAGCCGTGGCTCATGGGTCTGGAGGCTGGGACGTGCGAGATGGAGGCAGGACCAGATTCGGCGTCTGGTGAGGGCTCACGGCTTCAAAGACGGTTCCTTCTTGCTGCATACTCACATGGTGGAAAGGATAAGGATGCTCCCTTCCCCCGCAGGGTACCAGCCCCATTCACGAGCCACACCCCAAAAGGCCCCACCTCTAACTACCATCCCACTGGGTGATAGGTTTCAACCTGCGAGTTTTGAAGGGACAGCAGCAGTCAGACCAAAGCAGCCATCAGTCAGTAGGTTTTCGAACAATGGAGTGCCGGCTCACCTGATAGATTGCCTTGTCTTTCATTCAAGAAGAGCACGGATTTAAAGACGCTTAGACACTTGCAAAGCAGTCTAGGTGCAGAATCCCACAGGCCCTAGCTCAGGAGCCCCAGGTCTCTGTGCTGTACTGTTCACAGTGCCCAGGCTGGTTCTCTCCAGGGGCTCAACTATAGTGACTTAGGATCACAGAGAACATGAGTAACTGAAATACTCCTAAGAGCACTGTAACGTGGCTTGAATTTTAAGTCTAGAATTTGCCGTGTGCCCTTAGTTAAGTTCTATAACATCCTCAATCCTCAGTTTTTCCATCTGAAAATAGGGATGATAATAAGGCTACATTTCTCCTGGACTTTTGTGAGAGTGACATGAGGTCCTGTTTGGGGAACAGCTTAAACAACAGATGTGAACAGACATGGTACCTCGCAAAGCCTCTGTCCCGTCTTACCTCCTCACTAAATTCTCATGGAGTCCTTTGCTTCTGTACATGTGCACCCCAATGTCCTTTGTGTGTCCGAATTCCTTCCCATAAAGACGCCTGTCGGTCTACACTAGGGCCCACCCTGATCGCCATACTTTAACTTAATCACCTCTTCAAAGGCCCCTTTTCCAAATACAAATTCTGAAATACTGGGGGTTAGTTGGACTTCAACATAGGAATTTTGGGAGGACACAGTTCAGCCCATAACATCACCATAAAGAAAATTAGTTTCTACTGTATTTGAAAATAACTATTTTTCATGAATAATGACATAACTAGAAAGGATGGGTGAGGAATTTTAAGATGTGTTTTAGTCACTGTAATTGACGTCTCTTTGCAGGATTCTCCATATTGGAATTATACAGAAAGTTCATTTATTGTACATTTATTGTATATTTAAGAGGTCAAGTTACAGCTCCACAAAGTTGTGTATAATACAAAAACACATATGACCCCCATAATAGATTGCAAATATTTTTTAAATAGTGTTGGAAAATAACTGTTTGTGTCATTCATTGAGCAAGGAACTGAGGAATGTTTTTTGTTTACCATAGCTGTATACAGATTCAAAAAAAATATTGAATAACTGTGCACCTGTTATGGTAAAGCACTAAGGCAAGGGTTGTGGGGAATCTCACCCTCAGGTGTCTTCTTGGTCTATTTGGGAAAATACCAAAATGTCACCAAGTAGGCTTATTTAATTGCCTATTTAATGTTCAGTGTAGACAAGGAGTGCTGTGCATTCAGAAGAGGGAACAACTGCCTCTGAAACCCAGGATTAAGGTTTTGAGTTTGGGGAGAGCATTTTGATGCAGCAGGATAAGCTGCTGCTGGGGACACCCACAGCCCATACCGGACTGTCAGTTTGAGTCCCAGCTGCCTACTAATGACATCCTGGGAGGAACAGGTACTGGGGTCTCTGCTGCCCATGGGAGAGACCCAAATGGAGTTGTGTGCTCCTGGCTGTGGCCTGGCACAACCCTGGCTATTGTGGACATTTGGGGAGTGAACCAGCCCGCTCGCTCACTCTCTCTTCTTTTCAAATAAAATAAAATAAAATAAATAAATAAAGCCTTTTAAAAGATACTGAACTTGTAATGACTACTACAATAATATTGGGAGACGCTCTCTGCTATGGCCTGGGAAAGCAGTAGAAGATGGCCCAAGTCCTGTCTTCTGGCTTTGGATTGGCCGAGATCCGGTTGTTGCAGCCATTTGGGGAGTGAACCAGCAGATGGAAGGACCTCTCTTTCTCTCTGCCTCTGTGTAACTCTGCCTTTCAAATAATAAGTAAATCTTTATAAAAATAATAATAACAATAATAATAATATTGGGAGAAAATTAAGTAATATAGTAAGGAAAACAGCCAGAAATGGCTTGCTGCCACGTTCAGGACAAATGGATGGGGAGAGGCCATGAGGAAGTGTTGATAGCAGGGGGGCTCCAAGAGGATTCACCAAGGACAGTTTCAAAGACTTGCACCTGCCCACAGCTTGAGACTAGGGTACTGACATGTGCCACCGTGTCCCAGAGAAGGAAACCTGCATCCGGAGATGCTGAGCGCTCTTTTGGAGACAGGTAGAAGATCCACGATCATGTTACAGGAGCCAGGTCCACTTGGTATTTAGGAGAGAGCCTGGTGTTAGTGAAATTCGAGGAAAACCTCACTCACCAAAGGAAAGATAGTGCGATTCTTTCTGAGAGCAAGAGAAAGCGTTCCCATATGTTGCTTCACTCCCCAGGTGGCCCGTAACAGCCAGGGCTGGGTGTGGCTGAAGGTGGGAGCTGGAAACTTAATCCAGGTCTCCCACATAAGAGACAGGAACCCAAGTGCTGGAGTCGGGAACCAGAGCCATGTGATGAACCCAGGCACCCTGACGTGGGAGGTCGGTGTCTTACCCTTCACACAAAACGCCTGCCCAGGGTGTCTCACTTCTGTATTCGTGTCCCACCCACAAAGAATATTTTGCTTGCTATTAAATCATAATAACGACAAATATAACTGAAATGTAACCTAGTCCTTGCTTAAAATGTACCTTTCTCTTTCAGGCCTCTCTTTCGTGGAAGTTCAGATGTGGATCAGCTAGGAAAAATCTTGGAGTAAGTAATAGGTGTCATTTTATCCCTGTGGCTGTAGCATTGACAGATTCACAATGCCTCTCCTCTGCAGTTCATGTAAACGTGTATCTCTTGTCTCTCTTACCCACGCGGCTGCTGCACACAGTGCTACTGTTCACGTGGTGAGTGGGGACGTGGCGGAAGCAGCGTGCTGGCGACCCCGCCGTGCCGTGTGCCTCCTGCTCGGCTGCTCGTGTGCTGCTTGTATGGATCTGTCTGCCGCTCCTCTTCCTTTGCTTGGCCGAATTCCAGTTCTTTAGTTCTGCTTGTGGTCATTTCAAATGCACCCTCCGTCAGAGTTGGGGCTCCCAGGGGTCTAACAACCCCTCCTTGTCCAGTGGGCGTCCTGCCTCCCTGTTGAGTATCCTTGGCTACTCAGTCGGTTTTGCATTGCTCTGTGTTCCTGATACCCAAGTGTTTGCTAGAAGGAGCACTGAAATGGGAGATGAGAATCGTAGGTTCTCATCCAAGGTCTGTGGCCAAGTAGCCATGCAGCCTGGAGAAGGACCCAGCGACCCCCTTCACGGGGGTTTGCACGGTGCACAGTATGCAGCAAGCACTTTCACAATGCTGGTTTCCATCTTTTGTTCCTTACCTTCCTCACATGTGAGAAATGAAACAGACCGAAATCTCCATTCGCTCCTTCCCTGTGCTCAAGACCGTGGGTTCCAGATGTTTGTTGCATAGCTCCCCGCTGATTTACAGAGTTGTTCCTGCCTGCGTGTTTGTGCACGTGAGAGTATGTGTGCTTTCATGTTTCTAGAACGTTACCGGGGCATTTCTTCTCACAAAGCATGCGGTGTGGCATTCTTCTTGGATGTGTGTGTTGGCTGAGCTCCGTCAGAATTGGGGTGGAGTAGAGAGAAAACAGGAGTTCTGACCAAAAATAGAGCTGATGGCTGGTCTGTGACACTGCCTAGGAATCCCAGTGATTTTTATGAACTTGGAAGTCTGTCGGACTGAGACACAGCACCACTGAAAGAATGGAATTACGAGTTAGCAGCACGTACTTGAGACAGGTGGGAGAAACCTGGGACCTGGCAGGGTTCTTCTGGTGACTAGAAGCAGCTCCCGTCGACCGCTCAGTGTCAGTGCTGTGGCCGGCTCAGAGCCCACGCGCCGTAAGGCCTGAAGAATGTGTGAGATTTTGTCGTCTGGGGGCGTCCCAGGTCCAGGGCAGCTACCACTGCTGCGTGGCTACCTACTTGCCACCCTAGAGGACGCGCAGAGACAACACAAAGCTTCCTGTTCCCCTTGCTTGTGGGTGTCGGGTTCTTGGACCAGGCAGTGAGAACCGCCCCCCGGCCCCCATTTTGCCCTGTAACAGTTCAATGTATTTCTTAGGCTCGTGATCCCTGAAGAGGGGCCTCTGAGCGTCAGGTGTGCCACGGGCCATCTGGTAAAGGAAATCAGTGCATTGATGGCCAAGGCCTGCTTTGCATTCCTGGCAGCAGGAGTGGGGTGGGGGCAGTCGTCTCCAGCGCTGACAGCTGCCCCCTCGTCCAGGCATGTAGGGCAGTAGCCGGCAAGCAGCGTTTGACCTGCGTGTTTGCCTTGGCGCCCTGGGAGAGCCAGTCCCACTATGGGTGGATGCGTCCCTGTGTGCCGGCTGGGAACACCGGTAAAGCTCTGCGCACTGTGTGCCTCTGCTTTTGACTTCTCGGTTCCTGGCATTGCCTCAGGAAATCATGTTCTGCTTCTTCTGAATGCGTTACCTTGCCAGAAACAAGGGACAGTGCTGCACCCTGGTGTCGCTGCTGCAGTGCGTGGGAGATCACTCTGTCTGCGCCGTCACTGCCATGTACAGATTTTGAGCCCAGCCAGTGTTTCCAGTATAAATGGTCACTTTTTAAGGTTTATATTCAGCTGTTCAGATAGTGGCATTTGATGCAAGCACCTGTTAATGGAGCTATCGGAACTTCACGGTGCTCTTACGTGGGCCATAAAAGCTGCCACTGGGCACGGAGCTGAGTTTGTGCTTTAGAGGAAAGCCATGTGCACACACACTTCTGTGTCCAGGAAGATTGATAACTTCAAAGAACAGCAGGTACTTTGAAAGTGAAACAGTAGCCGGCGCCGTGGCTCAATAGGCTAATCCTCCACCTTGCGGCGCCGGCACACCGGGTTCTAGTCCCGGTTGGGGCGCCGGATTCTGTCCCGGTTGCCCCTCTTCCAGGCCAGCTCTCTGCTATGGCCAGGGAGTGCAGTGGAGGATGGCCCAGGTGCTTGGGCCCTGCACCCCATGGGAGACCAGGAAAAGCACCTGGATCCTGGCTCCTGCCATCGGATCAGCGCGGTGCGCCGGCTGCAGCGGCGGCCATTGGAGGGTGAACCAACGGCAAAAAGGAAGACCTTTCTCTCTGTCTCTCTCTCTCACTGTCCACTCTGCCTGTCAAGAGAAACAAAAAAAGAAAGTGAAACAGTGCCTTCAGCCTGTGACATTTTACAGCATTTTTAAGAACAGTGTCATAGTAAAATAGAAATAAATGCTGGATTTGGAGTGAGAACTGGGTTCACTCTGGGCTCTGTAATGGAACTCACTGTGTGTGACCTTGACAGTTCATTTCATTCCTCAGCTTCCCCATCTATAAAACGGGAATAATACCCCTGACCTGTGTGTCTCAGGAAGCCTTTACAAGACTCAATGCTGGCCGGTGCCGTGGCTCACTAGGCTAATCCTCCACCTGTGGCACCAGCACACCGGGTTCTAGTCCCGGTAGGGGCGCCGGATTCTGTCCCGGTTGCCCCTCTTCCAGGCCAGCTCTCTGCTGTGGCCCAGGAGTGCAGTGGAGGATGGCCCAAGTGCTTGGGCCCTGCACCCCATGGGAGACCAGGAGAAGCACCTGGCTCCTGCCTTCGGATCAGCACGGTGCGCCGGCCTTGGCGGCCATTGGAGGGTGAACCAACAACAAAAAGGAAGACCTTTCTCTCTGTCTCTCTCTCTCACTGTCCACTCTGCCTGTCAAAAAAAAAGACTCAATGGTGATGGACTTAAAAGTTTTATGTATGTAAGTTTATATAAGTGATCATATCCATAAGTAATACATAATTACATACCACATATCCATATAGAGACATGCTGTTTCAATGAAAGCTTTTGGCCTTCAGTTGATTTAGCTCCATCTAAATATATTCAAAGCTGCGAATAAAAAGACTCAATTTCTAGATAACTGCTTTGATATTTCTTGATAACTGCTTTGATACTTCGAGTTATCAATTTCTAGATATCAATTTCTGCTGATGATATGAAAAATATATAAAAAGAGCTAAAAAGGAATCAAAGAAAAATTTTCAAAGTCTTTAGTAAAGACTCTCTTTTCTTCCTCTCTGTACTATCTTTTCCAGACAGACAAGTGCATTTCTTTTCATAATTGGTAGCGGCACTTCCGTTTTCTTTTTATTCCTGTTACAGACTTTGCTGTTAAGCATATCTGTGTGTTGGTCACACTGTTGTTTCTGTTCGTTGATTCCAGTGACAGTGTGCACGAGTCTTTGTCTGGACAATGCGGCCCTCAGGATGCCCGGCAGAGGCACAGTCGCAGTGTCCTGCCCCAGCCCCCAGTGACAGGTGCACTTAGGACAGAGGCATCTGCTGTTCCCGAGTGAAGTCTGACCTGGGCTCTCTGGGGGTAAAGGAACGGGAAACAGAGCTGTGGAAACCCCGTGACAGTTGCACCAGGACCTCCTGAAACCTGGAACTACGTTCAGGACAGCACTCTCTCCAGGCCCTCAGTCCTCGTGAGTGCCGTCCAAGGAGAAGAATGTGCCGTACGCCAGCACCCTTGCTTTCCCACGGTTCCGAGAAGTCTCCTCCAGCGTTGGACTAGCTGTGCCTCTTGTCCACCACACTGAATTTTTCTTTTATTCAGAGTTATCCGGAGTCTGAGATACAGATTCTTGCATCACCTGATTTTCCTTGCTCAAACCCACTTACCCAGCCATGTATCCATTTTAAATCATGTCTATGTATTGTATACATTGTGCAGGGCCACCAGCTTACTAATGTGTCCGAAGAACCTGAAGTTACACATAAGCAGAATTGAAGCAGTTCATGTTTTCAGTGTAGTGGTGATATACTTCCTCTGCATTTTGGATTAACAGGATGATTTTCTGATTGTGATCATAATGGATAATGAATGGATATTGACTGTGTTGGAAACTGTGCTATGCAGCTTATGTAAATTATCGCTGATCCTCATAACAGCCATCAGTTGTTGCCATTGTCATAAAGATACTAAGAATCATAGGTGCTAAGGCATGTGTCCTTACCTGCCAGTAAGAATGCAACCCACATCTGCCTATTTCCAAAATCTGTGTTGTCTTTCACTTGCTGTTCTCTGCAGCTTTCTGATCCCAGAAAAGTTTTCAGGGGGAACATGAATAGTAGTCTTTTTAATTTGTTTTTCAGAATGCCATATACTTTCCCTTATAAAATAATCTGTGCCTAAGACTAATGTATCTTTTAGCCTCATTTTTGTTGTTGGATTCTAATATATGTAGTTACTCTGTGGAGAAGCACTCTTTGGTCAGAAATGCAACCCAGTCGATGTGTTGATAAGCCGTGTTGAATGAGCATCATAGAAGCATGTCAGGGCTGGAGTGTCCCATCAGGATGCAACACTCCTGGGCATAAAGCCACACACACACACACACACACACACACACACACCCCGGCAGGTCTCCTCTGAACATAGTAAGTCCCGTGTTGAGGCCTACACACAAGTAATGCACTCTTCCATTTCTCCATCATCTTTTACATCTGGTGTCAGCTGCGAAAATAATCTCTCGTCACTGCCCAGTGGAGTTAACAGTCCTGGGAGCTTCCCCGGTAGCATGTGACCTGCCCTGTTGCAGTAGGACAGAGGCGAAGGAGAGAGCCTGGCTCACCACGTGAAGGTTTCCTGGGCTCCTGCGCCCTCCTGCCTGGCCCTCAGAGCCGGCTGTCCTCTAGCATTCCCTGAGGGAAGAGCTTTGGCAGTGCCCAGTGCTCACGTGCACCTGTGGTTCTTTCCTAGCGTCATTGGACTCCCAGGAGAAGAGGACTGGCCCAGAGATGTTGCCCTTCCCAGGCAAGCGTTTCATTCCAAATCTGCCCAGCCGATTGAGAAGTTCGTAACAGATATCGATGAACTAGGCAAAGACCTGCTTCTGGTAAGTTCGCCCTGTGCTGATAAGACGCCTGCCCTGTCCAGGCTGTGTGGCAGCAGGAGGACCCGTGCAGCGACTGCTGCAGCCATCACCTGCATCGCCACAAGAGCCCAGGGCTGCAGTCCCCCTATAAGTTCCCTTCCCGCACCTGGAGCTACTAGTGGCTGTCGATCCCGGGACATCTTTCCAATCCACACTCTTGAAAGCCACCGCCTTTGAACTTGTGTTTGGGAGCGGCCTTTCTAAGGCTGTGGGCTCACTTGGATATGTGCTTCTTTACCAAAGTCCCGCGTCCTTTGATGTCTCCTGGTTTACAGTTTCGTGCTACCTTTAGCAATTTGGGAGTCATTTGGGGTGCCTTTCCTTAAATAGTCACATGCTTAGGAAAATGATTTTCCAAAGGAACTACCGAGTATGCTTATCAGTGATTGAAGTGTTTATTAAGTGATTTCCTATAGCTGGAGGTCAGAACAGTAGGTGGAGGAGCTCACCTGCCGGGCTGCTCTTGGTGCCTGGAGCCCGGTAAGCAGTCATCAGCAGGTTTTGATGCCTGCGTCAGCCTGTGGGTCAAGTGCCGTCTTCTCCGCGTGTCCCATTCTGGGGCCCAGGACGGAGATCAGACTCGGAAGGTAGAGGCAGCCAGCAGGGCAAGCAGAAGCACGGGATGCCCCTGAGAGCCAAGGCCTGGGAAGAAGCACCCTGCCTCTGTCCACGTCCCATTGGCCAGGGCCAACCTGAATGGAGGAAAGAATGCGTATGTGTACATACACATGCATGGAGGGGGAGGGGAGAGAAGAAGGAGAATATGTGGTTACAAAAAAAGTTACGCACTCAATCTATCCTAATAGTCAACTCTTGACTCACATATGATTCCAAAAGCTCATTTTTTAAAGAATTATTTCATTTATTTGAAAGAGTTACACAGAGAGAGGAGAGACAGAGAGAGGTATTCCATTCTGCAGGCTCACTCCCCAAATGACCGCAATGGCCAGAGCTGTGCCAATCCGAAGCCAGGAGCCAGGAGCTTCTTCCAGGTCTCCCACGTGGGTGCAGGGGCCCAAGGACTTGGGCCATCTTTCACTGCTTTCCCAGGCCACAGCAGAGAGCTGGATCAAAAGAGGAGCAGATGGGACTCAAACCGGCACTCATATGGGATGCCGGCGCTTCAGGCCAGCGCGTTAATCCGCTGAGCCACAGCATCAGCTCCCCCCCCTCCCCAAAAGCTCATTTTATAAGTCAGTTAAGAAACTGGGAAGTAAATTAAATTGAACAATATTACTACACAATTTAAAGAGCCTCCTTCTTCCTCAAGCAGAGCAGCAATAGGAGGTCACTGCCTTTGCTAACAGTATCTCCATAGGACAAAGTGCAGCAGGGCTTCCCAGCTGGCTGGAGTCCTCCCTCTCTCCACCCTCTTCCCTGCACCCAGCCCTCAGAGGGGCTGTGGGGAAAGGGCTTGCAGGCAACCCTCCAGGAACACCTCCCTGTGTCCGGATCACATCCCACGATTCTTCTCTCTTTGCTGTGTCCTGCCTTTTCTAACAGCACTGCCTGATTTTCTATTTCTTAGATTCTGGAAAGACAGAACTCAGGCTCCAGCATGTTGCCCCAGGGTAGGTGTTGTGGTGCAGCCAGTTAAGCCTTATCATGGGCTGCCTGCGTCCCCTGTTGCAGTGCCTGGAATCACGTCCGCCTCCACTTCCCATCCAGCTCCCAGGAGTGCACCTTGGAGGCAGCAGATCATGGCTGTCTCTGGAACCCATAGAGGAAACCTGGATGGAGTTCCTGGCTCCTGGTTCAGGCCTGGCCTAGCTCTGACTGTTGTAGGCATTTAGGAAGTGAACTAGCAGATGGATGTTGTCTCTTACCCCCTTTTCTCTCTCACTCTTATTCTCTCTTGCTTTCTCGCTCTCTTGCTCACTCGCTCTCGCTCTCTCTCAAATAAATAAAAATTACTAACTAGGTGCCAGCATTGTGGTACAGTGGTACACCACTTGAAACTCTGGCATCTTGTATCAAGGGACCGATTCAAGTCCTATCAACTCCTAGCTGATGATGGCCCAAGTAGTTGGGTTCCTGCCATACACATAGGAGACCTGGGTAGAGTTTTGAGCTCCTGGCTTGGGCCTGGACCAGTCCCAGTCATTGCAGCCATTTGGGGAATGGACCAACAGACAGGAGATATTCTCTCCATGGATATGTGTCTCTCTCTTTCTTCCCACATTCCACACCCTTTCCCTCTCTCTCATTCTGCCTTTCAAATAAGTAAATCTTTCATTTAAAAAATTAAATAAATAAACATTTAAAAAACAAAAAACCATGTGCCTCCTATGTCAGGAGCTCGGGAATTTACCTGAAATTTTAGGCAGAATTTTCTGTTCGTGTTTCTCTAGAACAGCAGCTTTCTGCAGAGGTTTAGAAGAGGCCCTAAACCGGTCAGGACAGGGTTGGGTGAGCAGGAACCCAGGTGAAGTGGAAGAAGCCTGCCTAAGCCTAATGACGTCACACGGAGGACAAGCGCTGTGGGCATCTTACGTGGCCGCTCATGGCAGTGGACGCTGCTTCCCAGAGAGACACGGAGACGCTGCTGCAGCTCCACTGCTGCGTGTGAGCTCCTGGCTCACGGGGTGGCCCCTGCTCCTCAGATAGTGCCTGTCGCCTGCTGGGTGCTCCGTGGGCGGTGCTGGCGGAGGGGAGAAGTCTTTTCCCAAGGGGCAGTTTATACCAAGGGGACATGACACAGAGTGCTGTGCTGGTACCCTAACGAGGCTCTTGAAATAGACGCTCATTGTCCTCGTGGTACACGCAGGAAGAAGGCAGCGCTGTCTGCGTATCACTCATGTTGACAGGTGTCACGGCGGTCGATTATGTTTTCTGTGTATTGCAGAAGTGCTTGACCTTCAATCCAGCCAAAAGAATATCTGCCTACAGCGCCCTGGCCCACCCGTACTTCCAAGACCTGGAGAGGGGCAAGGAGAGCTTGGATCCCCACCTACCGCCCAGCCAGAGCGCCTCAGAGCTGAACACAGCCTGAGGCCCAGCGGCCGCCCGGAGCTGGCCATCCGGAGGACACCACGGTGGCTGACGGGTCCCCAAGCAAGCCCCGCAGAGCTGCTGAGGATGGCTGTCGCGAGACCTTCGGCTGCTGTCGTCTGGTTGGGCTCTGCCTCCCCAAGGAAACCACCTAGTTTACTGTTCCGAAATCAATGCAAGAGTGATTGCAGCTTTATGTTCATTTGTCTGTCTGTCTGTCTGTCTGTTTCAAGAACCTGGAAGAATTCCAGAAGAAGAGAAGCTGCTGACCAATTGTGCTGCCATTTCATTTCTCTGACCTTGAATGCTGCCCGTGGAAAGTGGGTTCCAGGCACGGCTGAGTTGTGATGTAATCGGCCTGCAGCTGCCGGGCCTGACTTGGTACTTTGGAGAGAGAGCGAGCGAGTGAGTGAGTGTGTGTGTGTGAGTGAGAGAGGTTCTGTGATCTCTCAAAGTGTTACCTTCTGTAAACAGCAAGAATAATTGAATTTGTTAAAGACTCAAAGTGATTGACAAGTAAGAGGCGTTAGTTCACTGAAGGTGATTTCACCAGAGCGGCCTCCTCAGACGAGAAAGCTGAGCCTGTGTCCTGCCCTCAGCATTTCTCTTCTGGCCAAAAGCAGTCAGTTTGCTAGCCGTGAAAGATAAAGTTTTATACACACAGCAAAAAGGAGGAAAAAAAATCTATCATCTTGTAAGAGACCTGTTTTTAAAGCATGCGTTCTATTTACTCTTTGAAAAGCTGGATTTACTCGTAAGCCTATTTTAACCTATAGTATCATGCTTTTATTGTTTCTTTTGGAAAATACCCTAGAGGCTTTTTATTACTTGCTATAGTTTTAGGGAGTGTACCTCAAATAGGTCTAAAAAAAATAGAGAAACCCTCTGTTCTCTGGTTTGAAACTTCATTTTTACCCTTCTGTCGTTTGTTGTACTGGTTTGGTTTTTAGGGGTTTGTCAGAGACTGTTCCCTGTTCGGGTTTGAAGAGTAGTTCCTTCGGACTCTGGAAACGGGTGCCCGCACCTCACCCCGCCGTGACACTGTACTTGCCACTAGGCACTGCCTTGTTTGCGAAGCGTCCCTTTACCAGCTGCCAGCACCTGCGATACACGTGGCTCCCACCGCAGAACTAATACCAGGCTGCTCGGGCCGTATCCTCCTGCAGCCCGCCTGCTGCTTGCTTTCCCGTGAACCATCTGTCGGCGTGAAGTTCAGGTTAGGCTGTGGCCCCCGTCCTGCAGTCCTGTAATGCCCCGTGTCTCCTCGCTGTCGCGTGCAGCCTTCTGCCTGCGCTCCACGTGGTTAGTGAGGCGTTGGGTAGGAAATTTCTTCTGCATCACCAGCCCAGGGATGGCTAGTCACTACTACTTGGTGTTTGATGTTTTCGTAGAATGCATCGTCGGTGCAGTATCTGAGGGAACATCTTTGCTTTCAAGAGAGAAATTTACTGTATATAATGAGCTTTTTCTTCATCCTCAGGCTGTGCTTGGGTCTGGAGTCCATCCCTGCTCCCTGCAGAGCCAGCCTGCCCAGGGCATTGTGAGCAGCCTTACTTTTTCTACATGCCTTAGGTTCCATCCCGTCTGTGCCTTACGCCTTTGAAAACCTGCCCGGTTGACTGTAGTAACCGGAAGACTCAGAAAGTATCTTTTGGGGAGCTTAACTACCTGGCTTTCTGCCTCGTCTTTCCAGTGCGTGCAACAGTTAGACTATGTTTTAGAGTTGGGATTTTTCAAAGAACCAACATTGCTTCACTCAGTAGGGAAAAAAAAAAAAAAAAAAAAAAAAAAAAAAACACATTTTCCGATGATGTTTGTGCCTGCGCAAGCCTCTCTTGAGTTCTCCACTGCCTCCTGTCGTCCAAGACTATCTTGAACAAGAGGAGAGAAATCGGGGGGTGTTTCTCCTTCAGCTTTTTGGGTCGGGAACCATTCTTTTTAATGCATCTGTAGTTTATCATTGTTGTAATTTAGTACCTTGAAGAACAGGAGACTGTTTTCTAAAGCAAGATTTAAAAAAAAAAAATGAAGGCGGGCCGTAAGCGGTGTTTCAGTGTCTTCGCTGTCCGCATTGATGATGTGCTGGCACACTGTAATGCTTGAGCTACTCCAACCCAGGTGGGCGCTCCTGGTCTCGCCTGGAGAAGTGAGCTCTGCCTTTGCGCTGACCAAGAGTCACGATGCGAAGACATCCTTGCTGGGGCCTAGAAATTGAAGTTCTTTAATCACTGCACTGATTGATCGTGAGCTTTCTGGGTAGTGCCCGTGGTTAGAGTGAACATAACTTGAGTTTTTGCTTGTGCAGAAGTGTTTTCATAAGTTCGCTCAAGAAACATGCAGCTGTTCTAAACTGGAATTTCGCAGCGTTCATTTAGAATTTAGACAGGTGGAGAGCTCCACTATGATTCCTGGCATCTGCTTTTGCCTATTTCTCAGTAGTGTTTGCAAAACAGAAAAATGAAAGCACAGAGGTTGTGGTGTGGAGCCTGCTGTCCTCTGCCGACACCGCGCAGGGCATCGCGGCCGCTCCGACCCTGGCTTGGTCCGAGTCTGTCCCAGCTCCCCCTCTGGCGTGGCTGCTGCCCTGGCCTCTCACACCCAGGCTCACCGCTTCCGAAACCCGGACCCGCCCCAGCAGCCTTGCTGTGAGAGCCCGCGAAGACTCCGCCTTCCTCTTCCACCGTCCAGGCCTAAAGCAAGGCTGCGGCTCACTGAGGTCAGACTGCCCCGGGGCGACAGCTCGGAAGCCGCACCAGTGCAAGGACGCACCTGAGGGATTCTGTGCGGCGCCTGCTTCTGGCGGCCCAGACACGGTGGGAACTGTGGCGCAGGGCAAAGTTGGAACAACAACGGACGTATAAAGGAATCTGTCCATTTTGCTACCACAAGCTACCACAGGGCAAACAGCACACAGAATTCCTGAGAGCTCCCACCGCACCCCTGCTTTGAAGTGGCCTGGAGCTCAGGGTGCAGAGAACCTGTCCCTGAGCCAGCCAGGGCCACCTCTGCTGCCCGCCTACCATCACCTGACTCCCAGGAGGTGCACACTGTGAACGCAGGCTTGTCACTTAGCCCCAGGTGACTTCCTAGGAATAGTTGCTCCTGCTTGACCTCACATGAGAAGCTCAGCATTGCAGTTGTTGGTAAACATCAAAACTTGAGGTTGCACGGGATGCTGATATGTTGTAACACCCTTTTAGTAGAAGACTTGGAAGTGTGACTCCAGGACGTGGTACCACCCGTCTTGACGTGTGAACGGATAGTACCACACATTCAGAATTTTAGATGATGTATTCGAATTCAACTTTCCAGTAACTGCAGCTGCTTCTCTTAAAAGTGGTGCCTATCACAACCATTAATGGAGTTTCTCCTTCCATTATGGAAAGCAAATCATGTAAGCTTCCTGGTAGCATAAACACATTAAAATTCTTCTCTCCAAAGAATTGCCTTTTGGTGCCAACTTGACGATTTTTATGACTAGCACGTGAGGAAATCTCGTGTTTCTGAGATAGTTGGGTGTAGGAAAGAACAATGTTAAAAGTTAATATGCCAGCATAGTCACTTAATTGTATTAGTCCCGAAACTGCAGAATCTTTGCCTTGGAAAGAAAATGCTGAAATATTATTATAAACCCTTACCTATTGATAGAGTTCAACCAAATGCATGCTACATTGTGACATATAAAAACAAAGATATATCATTTCCAAATCTTTAAAAATTATTCACAAAACAGTGAGCAACTGGAATAAATGAAGATATGAAAGATTTCAAAGGGTGGTGTTAATGTTATATATATTTTGAAGGTTATAGTTTCTATTATCAAGTATATTGCAAGAATTTATCTTAAAGTCACTTGGCAGCCATGGGCTCAGTAAGCACAGTTTACCTTTTTAAAGCTGAGCTGAGCAAACTAAATTATCTGCACTGCTTCCTCGTTTCATTGGCAACAGCGGCCCTGGGCCCGCGAAGCTGTCCTTGTCACGCATGCCCCAGAGTGTGCTTACTGAGAGAGCAGCAGGGAAAAGTGTTTAAGGCCTGGGATTCCTGCGCCGCTAGGACTCGGAAAAATTGTGACCCTTACTGGAAACCATCGATCAGGTGCACTGCATACACTCAAGTCTATAATTAAGACCTTCACCTGTTCCGTCTCCGCAATGGACGGCGACCAAGCCACAACTGGCCTTGGATAAGCAACAGCAGTATTTTCCTCAAAGGCGTGGGGAAGTCGCCGTTTCTTTGCGCCCTGGCTCCCTTTGTATCGAGCGCAGTGTGCCGCCCGGTTCTGGCACACACGCGGATTTCCGGCACTTCTGACTGTGTGCTGCTTCCGAACGCTCCCTGTGGTCTCCTCTGGAGCACCGCGCACCGCAGAACCCTGGAAACACAAGGCTCCCATTTGTAAACGTCTTTTTTTTCCAGCTAGGTTTTCCCTTGGTCTGGTTTTTTGGTTTTTAACGAAGTACCAGCTGACTTGTCAAAATGTCCTCTATTTCTTAGCATTCGTGCGGAATGAGTTTAGAGAAACGCAAGGCCTTCCATCCACAACGTTCTAGCCCTCAGAAGAGAACAAGAGCCACCTGAAAGTAAATAGACCTTTCACAGACACCGACTTACGTACCGTGACAGCAGTTTGAAGTTAAGATGGTAAGGAAGGAAAATCATCTTCCTTGCAAAGGTCTATTTTAAAAATCACTGTCCAGATGGACTTTCTTCTGTACTCCAGTGCTTTCCACAAGGTGGCGCTTTAGAGAAAAATTAGGATCTGAACAAGGCTTCAGTACTTCAATAGACATTCTAACTATTCTTCTGCACATATCTAATTCTTACCTAGCACTTGTTTAACAGAATGCTGAGTAGTCCTTATAATGTCCTGTAACTTAAATATTTCACCTGTTAGCTAGATTCTGAACAATTGCAAATACATTTTGCTTGAGGTTGGATGATGCACCCATTCTGATCACTTCAGTGAGTAAAGAAAACCTAATCATTTATTCAAGAAGCATTTTTCTGAGATTCCTAAGAAAGGCTTGCTTACTCAGAAAACAACCTGCACCTGTGAACAGGATGGTTTCGTTAGGAGCCTGAAACTACTCCAGTGGCACCAGCCAGGACACCCTCCGCCCCCATCTGCTGCTCTCGCACTCCTAATAAGGTGGCATTTCAACCCTGATTAAATGTAAAAGTCCAATGAGATAAATAAACAAATACTGCGCCATTGAGTAGGCAAAACTCTTCATCAAGGATGGCTATTCCAAAACACCCCTAAATTACTGGAAGACCCAGTGATCTGCAATCTTTACATTTGTGTAATCACACATGCAAATTCATGAACTATTTTATTCATTTTGTCTCTGTAGGATGTGAGCCTGACAACTTAGGGTCATATCTACTAGATGTTTAGTTTCTCTACTCTGGAAGTTTGGAGCAACTTCATTTTTGTTGTAATTCTCGGGTCTGCTGAGAAACCCATGCCCTCCTTCCCCTGCCTCCCAAGCGATTGAAGCTGGTTTTGGAAGTCCCCTGCCTCCCAGCAGTGTCCCTGAAGTTTATCAGGAAGCTGCACCCTTTCCCAGAGCTGGCTTAGCACAACTCAAGGCAGTTTGTCCCTCTGAGTGGCGGGCACTCACAACACCTGCTCAGTTTCTCTCCCCAGGACGGGCCGACGAGGCTCCTGGTAGATGCTGAGCCCCATGCCCCACCCAGGAAGGGCTGCGGAGAGCTATTTGCAAAGCCAATGGCCTCTTGCAGTCCCACCTGCTCTCACTGAAGTGGAACCTGGTGCCTATGGCCCTAAGGGAGAGGCCCACCTGGGCCCTCGGGCTGCCCTGCAGGGACCAGCCTGCATCCTCATTGCTCATGCTCTAAACTTGACTCCCACCTGAGGCCCCCCCTCGGTGGCCTCCCAACTGCGGGCGAGGCCCGTGTGCCCTGCTGCTGTCTCAGAGGCACCTGTCAGCAGCCTTGGGAGGGAAAGCGTCCCTAGAGGCGAACGGGTGTCGTCTGTCCGTAGATAAGTACAACACAGTTCTCCGAAAGTTCGGGTCTGGGGGTGTGGTAGAAGCTGCTCGGTGAGGCCGTCTACCCGGCGTCTCTCAAGCTATAAGCCCAGCTTTGTTTTGTTTTGTTTTGTTTTGTTTTGTTTCTTTTAAGAGAAGATGTGTAATTACAGGAGATTTTCTTTTTATTTTTTTATGTTCTGTCGTTCTGCATATATGATGGCAACAGATATGCCTGGAAGAGATTTGCTTTGGAAAATCGTTTTGTTTTCCTGCTTCTTGAGTTGGCAAAAGCTCCTCCCTCTTAGCTTCCAATTTCTTCTCTTTCCCTTGGTCGAGTAGTTAGAGGTATGCAAGTGAATTCTCTAGTGCGGTAGGGGATTTTTCTGTCTAGGGGAAGCCTTTGTGTGACTAGTTTGTTCACACACATAGTCGGCACCTATCTTTTTAGGAATTTGAATCGTCAGATGTAGGTTTCCTTGGGGGGTGGGGGAGGGGAATGACAACACCTTGGCTGCCAGGAGCTGTGATCCTCGTTGGCAGGCATAGGGCCCGCAGTTACTTAATTCCTGACCCCGTGTTTCTAGCCAAGTTCTGTGCATGCGCTTAGGTCAAGTTCTGAAGACACCCTTTGCATCCTTACTTGAAATCTTCTGATCTTAACGTCTACAAAATGCAATAACACGTATCAGCTTGCAATATTACTGTGGTCACCAGCAAGTCTGAGTTTGACCTTGAAGTCTCTGAGTAATGAAAATCAGTCGCAGCAGTAATAGTTTTCTTGAACTCCCAAGTACATCACTCTGATCCTCTGTTGGCAAAGATATATGTGTGTGCATCATGTTTCCTCACTTTCTTGTTTATTTTCCTATGACCCGTCATAAATATATTAGTACATGGGATAATAGCATCAGATACCCTTAGAAACAGCACTTAACATGTGGGGAGTGTTTTTTCAAGTTTTTCTACATTTGCATAAATTATTTCTATTATTATTCATGTATATTATTTATTTCTGAGTCACACTAGTCCAGTGAAAGTGCAACTGAAGACAAAGTATTAGGACTTGCATTTAACAATGTTTATCAACATGGACTTGATGGAGCTAAGAATATTAAAATTAGACTTAACCCCCCAATAAGCTGCATGCATTTTTAACATGATTACTAGATTGAAGTCTATAGATGTAGTGTTTGTGGTGTCTAGGTATTTTATCATTATGTTAAGGCATTAAAGCAGAGGACTTAGTTAGCTGTTGCTTTTGTCAAATATGCATATAGTATAGTGTGGAAATACAGCAAAGGGTTTTTAAACTAGAAGTAGAAAAGCATTTTAGAAACTGCCTTAATTGAGCACCTGTGCCCAGTGGCCATCAGAGGATGTGCCCGGTGAAGACAGGCACCTGGGGCGTACCTGGTCTGTGAAGATGCTTCCGCCTTACTTCGTAGAGCCCTCGAAGGCGTTGTGTGCAGCTGTGGGAGCAGGGAGTGCTGTTGAGAAGAGAGTGATGTCAGAGTTGTTTTGTAGAAGCGGAACTGCCCACTGTGCCTTGAGGCTTCCGGAATGTGTCGGGTGGAGAAGTCCTGAGTTTGCCTGCTTCGGGCAACTTGACCATGCGCAGAAGCAATCCAGCCGGGTGATAGAAAACAAGGGTTGCATGTGCAATCATTGACAAAGGGATCTCAGCAAACAACCGTTCCCAGCACCTCAGAAGTTTGTTGTACTTGTGGTGTTTTGGGTTTTATCTGAAGGTTAAAGGGCAAGTGTTTGGTATAGAAAAGCAGTATGTGTTAAGAAAAGCACATTATCAGTTCTCACGGAGTGCAGATTAGAAGTCGAGAGTGGTAGAGGATTATTTCTGAGACGTGTAGAGCATGTGTTCACTGTAAAATGTGTTAGTGTTTCTGCATTTGCGTAGGGCCTACTTAAATCTTGTAGATTTCAGAAAGGCAGTCGCACACAGTATGTTTTTTTTCCCCTTGACTCCTTATTAGAATTAAAAATGCTTTAAAAGTTAAAAAAAAAATCTTCATTTGGATGTTTGACTTGTTGGCTTCTGTGTTTAAAGTCGCAGTTCTAGAAATGTAGAGATTGTGCATGTCAGATGCTAACTGATGACCAGCACACCCACCCCTGCGCACCTGTCCCCTGCGTCTCTCCCTTTCTCCCGCCGAGGTGCTCCCTGCCATCGTCCTGGCCTGTCCGTGTGCTGCTGTCCATCCTCCTCTGCTCATGTTTGGGCATCAGGGACATAAGAGATAACTTTAGCCACAATGGGCGTGCTTGCCTAGGCTTGGTCACTACCCGCACTTGGCCTTCAGCTGGTCATGGTCATCAGAAGATCTATGAGGCCAGTGTTGTGGCACAGTGAGTTAGGCCATGCCTTGCAGGGCTGGCATCCCTTTTCAGAGTGCCAGTTCCAGTCCAGGCTATCATGCACTTCTCAACCAGCTTCCTGCTAATGCGCCTGGGGAGGCAGGGAAAGATGGCCCAGGTACTTGCTCCTCTGCCACCCATGTGGAAGACCAGGATGGAGTTGCTAACACCTGGCTTGGGCCTGTTCCAGACCTCATTGTGGCCATTTGGAGAGCAAACCAGCAGATGGAAGATCTCCCTGTCTATTGCTCTGCCTTTCAAATAAATGTTTAGAAAGAGAGAGGGAGAGCTGGTTCCTGATGGGAGGCACAGAGGGCGCGCACAACATCACTCAGAAATCCCCTCCCCCATCTTTGTGTGCAACTTGACCTTTAAACCAAGTCACTCTGCGGAGCATTCAGCTTTGGCTGTGGTACCGAGTGAGAAACTAACCAAGAACAGAAACCACATTCCAAGCTGCTGTTTTCTGTCCATCTACAGGCTGTACTTTCACTGTATCTCTTCATACTTGAAACTCATTCTGCTATTTTAATATCAGGGTACAGACTTCCAAGGGTGCATGTTCCTGCCAGGTGCATAACTACTCTCATTCCGTTTGTTCATTTTGCTACAGAGTGCTCTGTTTTGGTGCTTTGGGTTCAGCAGGTCACAGAAGCAGTGTAGCAAATCACTGCCAGGACCGCAGTTCTAGAAGAATGTTGCCAGATGACTTGGTATTGGGTGTGGCTTCTGCTCCTTCCCCGTCCACAGGGTGGCGCGTGCGCACGCCGGCCTGTCCACCTGGCTCTCCTTGCGCACAGGCTGGCCGTGGCACAGCAGAGAGCTTCCTACCTGTTCAGATTATTTAGTCCTGAAAGCGAAATGGCCTTGGGTGGGAAGGGCCCCAGTCACCAGCGACTGCTCCCCCATGCTCACAGAAAGCCCTCCTGAGGCCAAAATGAATAATAAAACTGCCAAGTTCACCTCTCCGGAGCGCCTGAGCGACGCTCTCACCCCAGAGGAAAGCTCGGGCCCATTTGTTTAGCCCTCCCCACCTGAAAAGGGACGTGTACCAGAAGGTGTGCATGTCATGTAAAATAGGCCACCCCAGGACCCTCTGTTGTAGCTTTCAGGGGTGCCGGAAGCCCACCCCCCACCCTCCCACACACACACCCCCACACCCCTGGTTTCTGAGGTCAAAGGGAGCCACTCCTGGCCGCACCTAACTCTGACACTTCATTGGAGAGAGGGGGACCTGCAGTGGCGATTATGTCGTCAGGAAATGCAGAGAGTTACAGATCAATGATTCTTTGGAAACTGGATGTATTACTGGGTGCTAGAATGCAAATTTAGGTATTTATTGTCAGATAATGGAATTCATTGTTTTTTTTCAAAATTGTTGAAGTGTCACTGTCCATTGTGTTCACTTATGTGCAAGCTAAATTGAATGAACCAACAGAAAATGTTCATTTGTCATGCCTTTTGTATTTCTTACAATAAAAATATTGGTAGCCAATAAAAATAATAAAATAGCAAATTTTAAACTGCTTTCTTAGAGGTGACTTACTCTCCTGGCTGTTTGTATTTTAATGTAAAAATTAATCAGTAACTGCAGTGAGTAACACCATTAAAGAACACGTATTAGCAGAACGTGTTTTAAACTTAAGAAAGACTCCTTTTCGGGCTTACAGCCTTTAAAAAATTAAGTATTGGGGGCCAGTGTTGAGCTCAGAGTATGAATTCACCAGTGTGAATCCCAGCTCTGCCTCTTCCTGTCCAGCCTTCTGCTAAAGGACCTGGGCGGCAGCAGGTGATAACCCAAGTGCTTGGGCTCCTGCCATCCGCAAGGGAGACCTGGATGGAGTTCCTGACATCTGCCTTCAGCCTGAACCAGTCCTGGCTACTGGAGCCATCTAGGCAGTGAACCAGGAGATGGAAGATAACTCTCTCTCTCTCCTGTCTGCCTTTCAACTAAGTAAATATCAGGGTGGGCATTTGGTGCAGCAGCTAAGACAGCACTTGGGATGCTCACAGCCCATGTCAGAGTACCTGGGATTGAGTCCTGGCTCCTGTTTCCAGCTTCCTGCTTATGCGCGCCCTGGGCGTCCAAGATGATGACGGAAGTGTCTGGGCCCCTGCCATCCACGTGAAAGACCTGAGTGGAGTGCCAGTCTCCTGGCTTCCGCGTGGCCCAACCCAGACAGATGGAAGATTTTCTCTCTCTGCAAATAAAAAATGGGAGGAAAAGTTTAATACAAAATCTTGTAAAAAGAAAATCAGCTCTTTGAGCAGAGAATTCATTCAACAGATGCATACTGAGCCCTTATTGGTTGGTAAACCCTAAAAAGGCTAAAACGAGCAGGGCCCCGGCAGGCCTCTGCAGGGCTCAAGATAGGGACTGTGGGACAGGCTGCCGTGACCAGCTGCGCATGACCTGGGCGTGAGCAGAGTTCACGCCGAAGGTAATTCTCCTGGGGACTCCCACCCAGGACAGTGTGTGCCAGTCCAGGAGAAACGCTGCAAGCACACTGGCCTGCAGGAGCCTTGGCCAGCGTGTGCCTGGGCAGTGGCTTCCAGGCATTTGTGTCCTAACCCAGGGAAGGAAGCAGTCAGCAGGGTTTGGTGCACACATCTGGGCCCTGTTCTTCGAAGTTGTGTGCAAGCAGATCCTTGCGCTATCTCTGCGAGACCTAGTGAGACCCACAGCCCAGCGAGAGCCTGATGGTACCAGTTAGGACACCAGGCAGTTGCTGCCTGCTAATGCTGTCTCTAAGGAGCAGCACTGATGGGTCAAGTCACTGGGTTCCTGCCACCCCATGGGAGGCCTGGAATGAGTCCCCAGTCCCTGCTTCCGGCTTCAGCCCGGCCCCATCTGAGCCATTAAAAATATCTGGGAAATGAACCAGTGGATGGGTGTGACTCTCCTTGTCCATCCCTGTCCCTGCCTGCCTGCCTGTCAAATAATAGTGAAAAATATTCGTGTTTGAACACGATGGTATACCATTCAGCAATAAGAAGGAGGGACTACTGAAACACACAACATCGACAAGATCCAAAAGCGTAATGAGAAAGACACAAAGGGCTGTTTGGTGCCATTTATTTGAAATGTTATAGGAAAGGCAAAACTGTAGTGACAAACACATATCCGTGTTTTCCAAGGGCCAGGAGACAGAGAAGTAGATCAACCGCCAAACGGGAGGAGGTGACTTCTTAGATGAAAGTGTTCAGTTGGCCGGCACCGCGGCTCACTAGGCTAATCCTCCGCCTGTGGCGCCGGCACACCGGGTTCTAGTCCCAGTCGGGGCGCCGGATTCTGTCCCGGTTGCCCCTCTTCCAGGCCAGCTCTCTGCTGTGGCCAGGGAGTGCAGTGGAGGATGGCCCAAGTGCTTGGGCCCTGCACCTGCATGGGAGGCCAGGAAAAGCACCTGGCTCCTGGCTTCGGATCAGCGCAGTGCGCCGGCCGCAGCAGCCATTGGGGAGTGAACCAACGGCAAAGGAAGACCTTTGTCTCTCTCTCTCACTGTCCACTCTGCCTGTCAAGAAAAAAGAAAGTGTTCAGTAACATGATGCTGAGTGTGGTTACATGACGCACAGGTTTTCACAACTCCTCAAACTCCACTCTGAGCTGGTGAATTTTACTTCTCACAATAAAGCTGACTATTAAAAAATTAAACATACTCTCTTTCAGTGGTAACCAAGACAACTTGAAATAATTGGCTAAGAACTATTACAGTTTGTCCCTTCAACAATGATGGAAGAAGAAAAAAGTTATAGTAAGCCAGCGCTGCGCCTCACTAGGCTAATCCTCCGCCTGCGGCACCGGCTCCCCAGGTTCTAGTCCTGGTCAGAGAGCCGGATTCTGTCCCAGTTGCCCCTCTTCCAGGCCAGCTCTCTGCTGTGGCCCGGGAGTGCAGTGGAGGATGGCCCAGGTCCTTGGGCCCTGCACCCGCATGGGAGACCAGAAGAAAGCACCTGGCTCCTGGCTTCAGGTCCGTGCAGCGTGCGGCCGTAGCGGCCATTTAGGGGGTGAACCAATGGAAGGAAGACCTTTCGCTCTGTCTCTCTCTCACTGTCTAACTCTGCCTGTCAAAACAAAAAGAAAGAAAGAAAAGCTACAGTGAAAACTGTAGCCCTCCAGTCAGGAACCAGGAATTTCCTCTCTGAGTCACTCGCCTGGTAGCTTCCTCTGCCTTCACCCATTAATTAATACTCAGCCCGGAATTTACAAAAGGCAAATTAAAGCAAATAACTACTTGGTTTTCATGGTTCATTTTTTTTTATAGAAAAACATCCTTGGTACATTTGTTTACAGTGAGAAACTGTTGAGAGCCAAGGGGATCAGATCTAGAGGTCATTGCTTTTGTACCACATGGGCAACAATTACAAGAGAACTTCCAAAAACACACAGAATTCAAAGATGTGTATTTTTGTGCAAAAACATTGAACTCCATGCATGTGAATATATCCAAAAGTTACAAAGTCAGTGGGACTGGAGAAAAAGGGGCCAGTTAGTTAGCTGAGCAATCCTTTCAGGAATAAGTCAGAAAAGAAAGTAGTAAGAGTGGAAAATAAAAATCCCCAGACCCACCCTCCCAACTCTCCAAAGCTACAATGGAGCAACCACCAGTAAGGGTCTACTGTACAAACTTTCAGAAACTTCTCTGGACGTATTCAACATCTGTATGTAATAACCTGGGCCATAGGAGACTCCATTCTTGTATGTTAGCAATCGGCACATTTCAGCAATTTCATAGTAACCCACATACCCTCTTGTTTATGCACATGCTGCTACACTCCACGTACAGCTCTAGATTCTTCTGATCACGGAGGGTGGCCGTTTTTCCAAATTAACATCACTTTCTAGTGCCTGCATAGTTTGCCCTTGCACCGGTGCACCGTGCTTTTAAAGATTCCTCCGTGATGGATCCATGTGCCCTGCCTTTGGCTCTCAGTGGTCTATGTAGATCATCCAAGCTCTGTTTTCCAATGTGGGAGGCCCAGCCTTCCACCTCCAGTCTAAGGCTGTGCCCACCCAAACAACAGACACTTGGATTTGTAGACTGGGTTTCCGTGTCTCTCTCCATTGATGAGATTCTCAAAGACTCACAACAACAATAAAAATATGGGAAAATCAAGTCATATATCACCAAGTTGATCCAGGTCATCCTCATATTAATGATGCCATTGATCATTATACACGATTCACATTGGAAATCCCTACCTCAGGGTATCATTATTCTGTTAACTATTTATACCTTTGCCTTTTATCAGTGCTTATGTTGCTCCCCTGTTCAAAAAGCCCTGCCTGGGGGTGGGTGGGCGGCACAGCGATGAAGACGCCACTTGGAACACTTGCATCCCAAAGTGCGTGCCTGGGTTCAAGTCCCGGCTCTGCTCTCAACTCCAGCTTCCCGCGGGGGCCCACTCTGGGAGGCAGCAGGTGATGGCTCAAGAACTTGTCTCTCTGCCATTCACATGGGGGAGCTGGGTGGAGCTCCTAGCTCTAGGGTTCAGCCTGGCCCACCAGCAGGCATTTGGGGGAGTTAATCAGCAGATGGGAGATTCATTCTCTTTCTCTCTCTCTCTCTCTCTCTCTCTCTCTCTGTGTGTGTGTGTGTGTGTGTGTGTGTTTCAAATAAATTGTTGCATGTACTTCCTCTTATATAAAACAGAATGCCTTGCCGCAGAGCAAGCAAAGCCGCTGTCCTTGGCGTTCAAGGATCTCAGCCTCCAGGGTTCCCGTCCAGCCCTGCCTCCTGGCTGCGGTAGGTGCTGCCACGCCTGCCTGTATCCCCTTTCCTCTCTCAGCCTCTCTAGGGCCACAGCCCACCTAGAACACTGCTTCTCCCTGGGCCTGGCGCCCACCCTCCCAGAGGCAGTCTGATGTCTTGGCGGTGCGCGCCCTTCCTACGTCACAAACCTGCCTCAGCAGCCCCACCATGGCTGCTGTCTTGATGCAGGACCTGCAGCCAATGGCCCGGCTTCTCTTCGCCTCAGTTCTTCTTACCCGAAAAATGGAATGCAATCTCTTGGGTGTGCCAACAACATTTGGAAGAGTGTGTAGACCCACTGCCGGAAGGCACATGTCTGTGTTTCTGTGTTTTAAGATTTATTTTAGGTCAGAGCCGCCGCCGGGGAGGAGCAGCCGCTGCCGCCCAGGACTGGGCCCTTAGGGAGGAGGAGGCGGGAAGATGGCGGACGACCCCAGTGCTGCCGACAGGAACGTGGAAATCTGGAAGATCAAGAAGCTCATTAAGAGCTTGGAGGCGGCCCGCGGCAATGGCACCAGCATGATATCATTGATCATTCCTCCCAAAGACCAGATTCCCGAGTGGCAAAAATGTTGGCAGATGACTTTGGAACTGCATCCAACATGAAGTCACGAGTAAACCGCCTTTCAGTCCTGGGAGCCATTACATCTGTACAACAAAGACTCAAACTTTATAACAAAGTACCTCCAAGTGGTCTGGTTGTTTACTGTGGAACAATTGTAACAGAAGGAGGAAAGGAAAAGGAAGGCAACATTGACTTTGAACCTTTCAAACCAATTAATTGTATTTGTGTGACAACACATTCCATGCAGAGGCTCTCACAGCACTACTTTCAGAGGACAGCAAGTTTGGCTTCATTGTCATAGATGGTAGTGGTGCACTTTTTGGCACACTGCAGGGAAATACAAGAGAAGTCCTGCACAAATTCACTGTGGATCTCCCAAAGAAACACGGTGGAGGAGGTCAGGCAGCCTTGCGTTTTGCCCGTCTAAGAATGGAAAAGCGACACAATTATGTTCGGAAAGTAGCAGAGACAGCTGTTTATTTCCGGGGACAAAGTGAATGTGGCTGGTCTCGTTTTAGCTGCATCAGCCGACTTTAAAACTGAACTAAGTCAATCTGATATGTTTGATCAGAGGTTGCAATCAAAAGTTTTAAAATTAGTTGATATATCCTACGGCGGTGAAAATGGATTCAACCAAGCTATTGAGTTATCTACTGAGGTCCTCTCCAACGTGAAATTCATTCAAGAGAAGAAATTAATAGGACGATACTTTGATGAAATCAGTCAAGACATGGGCAAAGCTAAAAGCTTTGGAAATGGGAGCCGTAGAAATTCTAATAGTCTATGAAAATTTGGATATAATGAGATACGTTCTTCATTGCCAAGGCACAGAAGAGGAGAAAATTCTTCACCTAACTCCAGAACAAGAGAAGGATAAATCTCATTTCACAGACAGAGAGACAGGACAGGAACATCAGCTGATCGAGAGCATGCCCCTGTTGGAATGGTTTGCTAACAACTAAAAAAATTTGGAGCTACATTGGACATTGTCACAGATAAGTCACAAGAAAGATCCCAGTTTGTGAAAGGATTTGGTGGAATTGAGGTATCTTGCGGTACCGAGTATATTTCCAGGGAATGGAATATCAAGGAGGAGACGATGAATTTTTTGACCTTGATGACTACTAGGTGGTCGACATGGGTCCGGCAAAACGTGCCTCGCCCTCCAGCATCCAACCCAAGGAGCATACCCGTGGTGGAATCCAAACAGATCCCTGCCTTACAATTGGAACATTTCCAGAACTCTATCCATGAGCATTGGATATCGAAAAGAAAACCGAAACAAAACCAGGCCCAGCCCTACACTTTGGTTTGTCATGGTGTCAGCGCAGCAGCCTACAACTAAGTTCCTAAATGCCACTTTGGACTAATTTAAAAAAGAATCCCAATTTTTACTTTTACTCGATGGTGAAATTGGTTGCTCCTGTATTTTATGAAAAAATGATTTTTTTAACCTTCATACATAGAAGCAAAAATACTTTAACTGCTGTAAACCTTCAAAAGTTAATAGAAGTGAGATCATACTGGTTTGTTTCTTATTTTCATTGGAGAAAAATTAAATTGCTGCAGTTCGCAGTGACCCATTTACATGGAATTCTCAGCTTAGACTGTATAAGAAGATATATATGTGGTGAAATGTTGGAACCATTTCTCTCTTGATCTCTGTTTAATGTTGACAGGGTGAGCTAATAGGAGGCAATGTCATCTTCACTCCCTCACACTCTCCCTTCCCCTACAAACTGTCAATTTCAAGGATGCAAACTGCATTGCAAGGTCAAACTGACTCAAGAAGCATCTGGAGGCTGGCGCCGTGGCTCACTAGGCTAATCCTCCGCCTTGTGGCGCCGGCACACCAGGTTCTAGTCCCCGTCGGGGCGCCAGATTCTGTCCCAGTTGCCCCTCTTCCAGGCCAGCTCTCTGCTGTGGCCCGGGAGTGCAGTGGAGGATGGCCCAAGTGCTTGGGCCCTGCACCCCATGGGAAACCAGAATAAGCACCTGGCTCCTGCCTTCGGATCAGCGCGGTGCGCCGGCCGCAGCAGCCATTGGAGGGTGAACCAAAGGCAAAAGGAAGACCTTTCTCTCTGTCTCTCTCTCTCCCTGTCCACTCTGCCTGTCAAAAAAAAAAAAAAAAAGCATCTGGGCCAGTGCACTGTTTACTTCCATGTGTTTGACAGCCACATTTGTGCACAGCATTTGGGAGCCCTTTGTATCAGTTGCTTTGACAAAGGTCCCCTAATCCTAGCCTATTAGAAACCAGTTGGAGATGGATATGATGGGGCTTCTGTGCTGTTGCTGGGATTGGGAGAAATAAAACATGCAATTTCAGTGGAAAAAAAAAAAAAGATCTATTTTATTTATTTGAAAAAGTACAGAGAGAAAAGGAGAGAGAGAGGATGAGAATCTTCCATCCACTGGTTCACTCCCCAAATGGCCATAACAGCCGAGGCTTGGCCCAACCGAAGCCAGGAGCCTGGATCTCCATCTGGGTCTCCCACGTGAGTGGAGGCGCCCGAGCACGTGGGCCATTTTCCGCTGCTTCCCCAGGCACTTTAGCAGGGAGCTGTATCACAGGTGGAGCATCCTGGGCTCCAACCGCCGCCCATGTGGGATGCCAGCATCAAGGTGGCGGCTTTACCACTATGCCACAGCGCCGGCCTGGCACATGTGATCATGAGTGGGTTCCAGATCGCCGAAGACCGGCAGAGTGTGCCTCCATCCCCCCCCCCCCCCCGCCCCGGGCCCTGGCTTCCACGGCCCAGCTTTGGAGGGTTCCCCATTGCGTCCCAAAGCCGCCAAGCAAGGAGACGGGCTGGAAACAGCGGCCCAATACCGAGGGCCCGGGCCCCACGGCAGCCCCCAGCCACGCAGCAGCGGTTCAGAACCCCTGGTGAAATGAGTGCACCGTGGGGCGGGGGCCGGAGCTGAGCCTCTCAGGCGGTCTCGCTCGCAGCGTCGCGGCCAGCTCCGTCCCTCTCCCCCAGCACCTGCTGGGCTCCAGGCACTGGCCTCGGTCCCCGCTTCATCGTGCGCAGGCTTCCTCGGTGAGGCTGCGGGCGGGGCTGTGCAGGACACCTCCGCGGCGGCAGAGGGCGCTGTGGGAAACCGCGGCCGTCGGCTCGGGGCCGCGCCGCTCTCTGGGCGAGGTGGGCAGGCGGCAGAGCGACGTGCGGCGGCGGCGGGGCCATTGGGGCTGCTTCTCTGGCTTGGTCTCCTTCGGCGTTTGGCGGGTTCGGCTTTGGCGGGCGCCATGGGCAAGCGGGACAATCGGGTGGTGAGTACCAGGCCGGGGAGACGCTGAGGTGGCACGGGGCTCGGCGGCGGGAGCGCGGGCCCCCTCGCCCTGCGGGGTGGGCCCGCGGCGGCGCTCGGACGCGGGGCCGGGAGAGCAGCAGCCCGCGCCGGTCGCAGATGCGCGTGCGCCGCGCACGCCGTTGGCGCCTCCGGGCCCCGGGCTGCCTATATATACATATCTATCACTGCGCTGCCCGCGGGCTCCAGGGCCCAGCACCCGGGCCAGCCCTGGCCGCGGAGGCCTCGCCGGCGGCCCCTGGTCCCGCGCGCCCGGCGTTGGACTTGGCGGCTTCGGCGCCGCGCCCTGCCTGGCCCGCGCCCGGGAGACCCCGCGCGAGAGCGCGGATGGTTCGTGGTCACCCTCAGCCTCGGCAGAGTTAGTGTCGAGGCCGCAGAAGCCAAGAGGCTGGGAGGAGCGTTCACGGGCGTGACAGCTGTTGTAGCAGACGCGATGAGAGAGAAACGCGGGTACCTCTCAAAAGCGAATGGAAATGGAAGTTAAAAGCGTGTTAGTGCTAAAAAAAAAATTTGAAACGCAAGTTTTCGAAGGGGCATGCGATGACTAAAAGCGTGCGTGCGTTTCACAATGTGCTTGGACCAAAGTGAACGTAAATTAGCTTTTTCGTCTCGTTTTCGCACCAGCTTCGGTTAATTGAACTCCTAGCGGGGGAGGGGAAGGGAGTCGGATGGTGCCGCTGGAGACTCCCTGGGCTTTTAGAGGAGCAGGAGATGGGAGGGAAGCGGTGCAGCTGGCCGGCGAGCAGCGGGGTGGAGCTGGGCTCGGTTTGAAGAGCCCGGCACTGGCCAGGTGAAGCTACGGGAAGAGTGGTCAGGGTGCACCTGGCCGTCCCTGGGCTCCTGTCTACGACAGAACTTGAGCCACCGAGTAGCAAAATGAGAGCAGTGGGCTTGGTGCTCACTTGATGCATGAACCAGCTTTTATTCATGACTGTTTGCATGGGTCGTTACTTTTAGGAAATGATGACATTTCCCGTCTTTTTTTTTTTTTTTTTAAAGATTTGTTTATTTATTTGAAAGGTGGAGTAGCAGAGACAGAGAGAGAGAGTTCTCCCATCTACTGGTTCATTCCGCAAATGGCCACAACGGCCAAAGCTGGACCAATCCAAAGCCGGGAACCTGGAGCTTCTTCTGGGTCTCCCATGCGGGTACAAGGGTCCAAGCACTTGGGCCATCCTCTACTGCTTTCCCAGGCCATAGCAGAGAGCTGGATCGGAAGTGGAGCAGCTGGGATTAGAACTGGCGCCCATATGGGATGCTGGCACTGCAGGCCAGGGCATTAACCCACTGCGCCACAGCGCTGGCCCCAACATTTCCCATCTTTTTTTTTTTTTAATGAGTTCTTTTTTTTTTTTTTTTTAAGATTTATTTATTTATTTGCAAGTCAGAGTTACACAGAGAGAGGAGAGGCAGAGAGAGAGAGAGGTCTTCCTCAGATGGCGCAGAGGTGCGCCGATCCGGACCCAGGAGCTTCTTCCGGGTCTCCCATGCGGGTACAGGGGCCCAAGGACTTGGGCCATCTTCTACTGCTTTCCCAGGCCATAGCAGAGAGCTGGGTCAGAAGAGGAGCAGCCGGGACTAGAACCGGTGCCCATATGGGATGGCGGCACTTCCTGCCAGGGCATTAACCCACTGCACCACAGCGCTGGCCCTAACATTTCCCATCTTGAAACCACTTTTTATTAATCTTTCTTGGTGAGGTGAACAGACAGCCCCATCCATTGATTGACTCCTCCTAAATGTCTGTGACACTGGTGCCAGGCTAGATCCAGGGACTCAAGCCAGGTCTCCCACATGCACCCAGTTCCTGGAGCCATCACCTTCTGTCTCAGAGAGTCTACACAGGCAGAAAGCTGGAATCGGGCATTAGACTCAGGCAACCCAGGGTATGTCGCGGTTGTCTTCACAGTGGAAAATCTAAGAACCAGGGTCACTGAGTCCTGGATGCACAGTAGAGGAATGCTTTTCCTGCCGGCTGCAGACAGCTAGTGGTGCTATCTCGATTGCCGTAAAGTGAAATAGTATGATGCAGGAGCTTCCTAAGGTTTGAGGTGTTAGAATATTTGCCTTTAATGCCCTTAGGTCTTAAATACTTATAAATCACTTGACTGTGGGGCTGGCGCCATGGCGCAGCCGGTTAGCTGCAGCCTGCAGTGCCAGCATGCTGTATGTGCACCAGTTTGAATTCCGGCTGTTCCACTTCCAATCCAGCTCCTTGCTGATGCTCCTGGGAAAGCAGTGGAGGACGGCCCAGGTCCCTGGGCCCCTGCACCCACGTGGAAGACCCAGAAGAGGCTCCTGGCTTCAGCCTGGTACAGCTCTGGTCATTGTAGCCATTTAGGGAGTGAACCAGTGGATAGAGTATTCTCTGTCTCTCCTCTCTCAATATCTTTCTGTAACTATGCCTTTCAAATAAGTCTACAAAAAATCACTTGACCTGGGGAATAGTTGCTTACAGAGGCCTAAAATGTTTTGTTTTACTAGAAAACAGTTTTTGCTTTACACATTCTTTTTTATTAACATTATTATTATTTGAAAGGCATAGTTACAGGGGGGAGAGAGAGCTTCCATCTGCCGGTTCGCTCTCCAAATGAGATAGGCCAGCCAAAGGCAGAGCCTGTAGCTTCATGCTAGTGTTCCACGTGTGTGTAGGGGCGCAAGCATTTGGACCATCCTCTGCTGCTTTCTCAGGTGCATTAACAGGGAGCTGGATCAGAAGTGGAGCAGCCAGGACTCAAGCTGGCTCCCATATGGAATACCAGTGTTGGCAGGCTGTGGCTTTACCCACTACGCCACAACGCTAACCCCTAGGCATCCATGAAAAACTTAGCTTGGCGTCATCTACTAGCACGTCTGAGCTCTACTTACTACTTTTGGTATGCTAGGCTGTGGGAATAAAAACGTGAAAACAAGCGTTAGAAGGCACAGATGGTGTAATTCAGTTTGCTGGTGGCATGGAGGAGGGGATGGGACTGTTTAAACAGACTGAAGCTTACATCATCTGACTGTTCTGTGCATCCTCACTCCTGTGTTTTATGTGACTGTTTGAGAGCGGTTTTAGGTTCACAGCACAATAGAGAGGGAGGTATGCAGATACTGTGACTACTTCCTGCTGCCAGGCGAGCAGAGCTGCTTCCCTCCGCCCCACTCCCTCCCCCATCAGTGTGTGCGCCAGTTACAGGTGGTGGACCTGCACTCACACATCTGTCATCACCTGAAGCCTGCTGTTTACATTAGGATCCACTCTTCTTTTTTTTTTATTTTATTTTATTTTTTTTTTTGACAGGCAGAGTTAGAGAGAAAGGTCTTCCTTCCATTGGTTCACCCCCCAAATGGCCGCCACGACCAGCACACTGCACCAATCCAAAGCCAGGAGCCAGGTGCTTCCTCCTAGTCTCCCACGCGGGTGCAGGGCCCAAGCACTTGGGCCATCCTCCACTGCCATCCCGGGCCACAGCAGAGAGCTGGACTGGAAGAGGAACAGCCGGGACTAGAACCCGGCACCCATATGGGATGCCGGCGCCGCTGGCGGAAGATTAGCTTAGTGAGCCGCGGCGCCGGCCCAGGATCCACTCTTAGTGTTGGGTGCTCCCTCGTAAGGACGTCCACCATCACGCTGTCATCCGGGGCACTTTCAGTGCCTTAAAATCCTCTGTGCTCTGTCTCCTCATCCCTCCTTCCTCCCAATATACTGGTCCTCTCTCTTCTTGACTCTCTAGTTTTACCATAAAAATGTAAAAATTAAGGTTTATTTCTAAAAACTTCGGACATTTTGAAATTACCTCAGAAACAATTCCAGTTCTTTTTTCAGTTGATGACACATAGTGTTCAAGCTGATAGGATTGCTTTCCAAGATGCCCATCAGTTTTCAGGTAAAACAATTTTTAAAACCTTTGTTTTTTTAGAGAAGTTTTAGGTTCAGAGCAAAACTGAGCAAAGAAAGTATAATTTCCATTTGCCCCCTCATGTTCAGCCTCCACTGTTATCAACAACTGGTAGCGGAATGGTGGGTTTGTTGTAATCGATAAATACATCACTGTCACCCAAATCCATATTTTTACAGTAGGGTTTGCTGTTGGTGTTTTATGTTATCAAACAATTTAATTGAACATTTTGATTCTTGAGAGTTCTAAATGGCTTTTGAATTCATGATAGCAGCCATTTCTGCCTGTTGTTTTCTGGAACCTCCCTCCGTGTTCGTTTTTGTTAGTTTGTGCCCACTAAAATAGATGTATACTCTAGATAAAAACAGGTAATCAGTAACAAATGAAATTCTGCACATCATGTCCTTAACAGTTTGATTACCTTACTCTCTTCGTATCTGCCCACATTTATATCCCCTTGGGTCCAGCTTGCCCTAACTTTCACAAATCATGTTCTGTTACCAGAAAATGTGCAGCATTTTGAAGCCACCTGCAATCCTAGTTACATATAAATGTTTGATTTACAGAATTACAGTATTTAAAATTACAATGCAGTAGATAGTTCATAAAATGCATCTCATGGGGCCAGCGCTGTGGCTCACTTGGTTAATCCTCTGCCTGTGGCGCCAGCATCCTATATGGGGTGCCAGGTTCTAGTCCAGGTTGCTCCTCTTCCAGTCCAGCTCTCTGCTGTGGCCCAGGAAGGCAGTGGAAGATGGCCCAAGTGCTTGGGCCCTGCACCTGCATGGGAGACCAGGAGAAGCACCTGGCTCCTGGCTTCTGACCGGCACAGTGTGGCGGCCATTCAGGGGGTGAACCAATGGAAGGAAGACCTTTCTCTCTGTCTCTCACTGTCTAACTCTGCCTGCCAAAAAAAAAAAAAAAGAAGGCATCTCATTCTCTTAATGTTAAAAGCATTATTTTGAGACCAGCGTTGTGGTGTGGCAGGTAAAGCTACTGGCATGGGTATTGGTTCCTGTCCCAGCTGTTCTACTTCCAATTCAGCTCCCTGCTATTGGCCTGAGAAAAGCAGTGGAAAATGGCCCAAACATGTGGCCCCTGTCCTCCACATGGAGACCCAGGTGAAGCTCCTGGCTCCTGACTTTGTCATGGCCCAGTACTGGCCATTGTGACCTTCTGGATAGTGAACCAGCAGATGAAAGATCTCTGTCATTCCTTCTCTTCCTATAGCTCTTTCTAAATAAATAAATAAATAAAGATTTTGGAGGCAGACATTGTGGCGTAACGGGTAAAGCCACCACCTGTGACACCAGCGTCCCATATGGGCACTGGTTCATGTCCCACTTCTGATACAGCTCTGCTGATGCAGCGGAGGATGTTCCTAGTGCCGGGGCCCCTGGCACCCAGGAGGAAGTCCTGGAAGAAGCGCCTGGCTTTGGCCTGGGCCAGCCCCAGCCCTTGCAGCCATTTAGGGAGTGAACCAGCCGCTGGAAAAACCCCTACGTGTGTCTCCCTGTAACTCTGCCTCTCAGATAAGGAAAATAAGACAGGGTTTTCACAGTGCTGCAAAACTGAGAATCTGGCTGCTACCTTAGCAAGTAGTAACTTTTTGTTTCAAACAGCTGCAGGGGGGTTGGTGTGTAGCACAGTAGTTGAGACAACTCTTGGGACACCTGGACCCCCTATCCCCATTTCTGAGTGCCTGGGATCCAGCTTCCTGCCAACATGCCTGGGAGGCAGCAGTGACCAACAGGCGAGACCACATGGAGTTTCTGGTGCATGGCTGGCTTCAGCCTTGCCCGGCTCCAGCTATTATGGGCATTCGAGGTTCTCCTCACCACCACTGATTTTGAAATCCTTTTTTTTTTTTTTAAGCATTGTTGGATGCTTGATGAGTAAGAGCACAGACTATCAGTATTTTGCATGAAGCCTAGCACACAAAATGAAGTTAAGATTGTTATTATAATTGAAATAAATAATGAAGATATTTAAAGTGTACTTAAAGCAGACTGAAGGTACTATCTGTTGTCAAAAGCATGCCTATCACTTCAACAGTAGTTTCTAGAAAAGTTGAAGATTGTAAATAGTAAATGTTGTACTATGATTCTTTAAAAGTTAGAATAGGGGCTAGCATTGTGGTACAGTGGGTAAAGCCACTGCCTGCAGTGCTGGCATCCCATAGGCACCAGTTTATGTCCTAGCTGCTCTACTTCGAGTTCAGCTCCCTGCTAATAGCCTGGGAAAGCAGTGGAAGATGGCCCAGGCACATGGGCCCCTGACATCCACTTGGGAGACCAGATAGAACTCCTGGCTCCTGGCTTCGGTCTGGCCTCGCACTGGCCGTTGTGGCCAGCAAGTTGCATTTCTAGAACTTGTCGTCATCTCCCACAAGATGCTCTGTACCCTTCCAGGGTGAATTATGTCCAGCCCTGCTGTATAAGAGCCATGAAATCATTTGGTCTGGCTTTACAAAGGCAGCCACAGGTGGGACTTGAAATCCAGTACATCTAGAGCAGGCTAATTTTTAAGCTGATCATTTTGTATGGCCACAAATGATGTTATAAATATCCAAATGGCCCTTGGCAGATAGAAGGTTCTCCACCCCTGCAGAACAGTCTCCTCCCTAGCCTCAGGTGACTTCTCACTCTGCTTCCTGTCTCCATGTATTTGCTTTTTCTGGGTACTTCATATAAGTGAAATTAAAGTCGTTCTGTCTGACTTACTTCACTTAGCATGATGCGTTTAGGGTTCATCCAGGTTGTATCTATCAGGATTTCACTCCTTTTGCCAGCTAATTCTATTGTGTGTGTATCATATTTTAATTAATTAATTACATTGTTGCCAATAACAGCCATCCTAATGGTTGAGATACCATCCCTGTGGTTTTGATTTGCATTCCTGGATGACTACGTAATTTTGAGCATTTTTTTCCATGTGTTTATTGACCATTTACTGTGTCATTGGACAAATTTCTGTTTGTGTCCTTTGCCTACTTTTGAATTGTGTTGAGAGGTTTTTGTTGTTGTTGTTGAATTATAGGAGCTCTTAATGTATTTTTAATATTTGATTTGCAAATATTTTCTATTAATCATCTTTTCATTCTTTTGATGGTATTCCTTGATGTATGGATATTTACAAATTCTTATGAAGATGTATTTTTGTTGCCTTGTGAAATTTCATTTCTTATATTTTAATTTGCAAATGAAATTGGCCATTAATATATAGCACAGTATTTCTTGGTGTGAGGGATAAAGTAGACTAAACAATGAATTTAGAGTTAGAACTTGTTTGACTTCTTTGGAATTGAGTTTCTTAATTTGCCAGTGAGTATGGTGTTATTGCCCTCCCAAGACTATTAGGCTTTAAGAGAAAGCATTATGGAGCTGTTAGTAGGTAAGAAATACCAGTATTTCATCAAATCCCTGGTAAAAATACATTCTCTAAAATGGTGATGTTATTTGTCTTCCAAACTTTTAATGCTTAAATAGAGGGTTAAATTTCTGGTTGCAATGCAAAGTGGTTAGTCACATTGTTCATACTTAGTTGCATGTAGGGTATATTTTATAATAAAGGTAACTTGGTGAGTAAATGTGCATTTGCATTTTTAGTGGTCAGTGTAATTGAATTAATATTTATTCTTCTCTCGAGGCCTATATGAATCCAATAGCAATGGCCAGATCAAGGGGTCCAATCCAGTCTTCAGGGCCAACAATCCAGGATTATCTGAATCGGCCAAGACCTACCTGGTATTTGTGAAACAGTTTACCTATTTATAAACTTTTAAAAGTTTATTCTTACAACTTTTATTGTTTGCCAAGCAATTTTCAGATAACTTAAGTGATACTCTTTCTTTTGATTATATGAACCAAATGCACAACTCTTAAAACATCATAGCTGAAGCTCTGCCAGTTAACCTTTGCATTTCAGCCTCTTCTCTGGAGCCTAAAAGACCAAACCTTGCCGTGCTTCTTTGTAATATAAGCAGATGTTAGGTAGGATAACGGTTAGGCTGACTGCTAGTTGTGTCTGCTGACTTTTCATTGAGTTAGAAAAACTCACCGTGTGATCTTTCAAATAAAGCATCATAGAGCAGTCTTAGTGTTTTTTAGGATGTGTTCTTTATTAACACAATACTCCTGTGCTGACATACGATAAGCTTCAGAATCCTAAGTGCCCTGAAAGTGTTTAGATCTAGTAGGAAATCCTTCCTTCATTTTTCATACGAAATAAGCCTTGCCTCCCTCTTACGGTGTGCATGAGTGCTGTTGTTAATTGCAGCATCCCAGAGTACAAATCATCCTCAGATGAAGTATATTTTATCTCTCAAATGGAGAGAGGGAGTGAACTTTTAAGGGGATGTCCTCAAGCTAATACATTGCGTACATCACAGGTCTTGAGGACAACCCATGGGATGGGTGCTTCATCGGAGAACTGGGCAGATAACTGTACTTATGGTGGGGTTTATTGCAGTGAAGGAAAACCAGGCGCAATCAGAGAAGGGAGAAGACACATGGGGTGAAGTCAGGGGGTGGGCACAGGCTCTGAAGGGGTTAAGGAGGTGCCCAGTGCTTATTTCAAGGTGGAAGCACTTGAGGAACTTTTAACTTCAGAAAGGGTGTTGGACTTGTCTTTTCCTGCATGCAGCAAACCATAACAATTCTTTGCAAAGGAAGTCTTTGACATAGGGAGGCCGGAAGATAGTCTTGATCAGCAGATTGGGAACTGGGGAGCTGATGAACTTGAATAAATGAACTCTGAAGTAATGACCCTTATCTTCCCTCTTCCCCCTTCCCCTACAAGTCTTAGTTACAGCCCTAGAATTTACTGCTCTAGCCCAGGTGCCCGTTTGTCCTGTTATCCCCTCACAAATCCATTGTTCTTTTTTTTTTATTTTTAATTTTTTTTTTTTTTTAATTTTTTGACAGGCAGAGTGGACAGTGAGAGAGAGAAACAGAGAGAAATGTCTTCCTTTACCGTTGGTTCACCCTCCACTGGCCGCTGCAGCCGGCGCACCACGCTAATCCAAAGCCAGGAGCCAGGTGCTTCTCCTGGTCTCCCATGGGGTGCAGGGCCCAAAGACTTGGGCCATCCTCCATTGCACTCCCAGGCCACAGCAGAGAGCTGGACTGGAAGAGGGGCAACTGGGACAGAATCCGGTGCCCCAACGGGGACTAGACCCGGTGTGCTGGTGCCACAGGCGGAGGATTAGCCTAGTGAGCTGTGGCACCGGCCTCCATTGTTCTTTTTCTAAAAAGTATAAGAAGGATGGATGGTGCTCTTTTGTCATTTCTTCAGACTGCACTCTCTTACAAAGATCTTGTACATGGAAATTTAATAACATTTAATAAAACTCTAATGTTCTTCCCTTATTAATCCATCTTGTATTCATTGGATTCCTAGATTCAGCAAACAGTCCACATAAGAACTAAGGGTTTGAAGAGGGGATGTGTCTATCTCCCCTGTACTGCCAAAGATCCTGGTGGAATCATACAAGATGAGCTTAATTTCATTAGCGAGGAATTGTGCCAACATGTGTGAGATGTTGCTGACCAGGGAAACTCAGTGCCTGTGGTTTTTATGGTAGCCTCTGCCTGTCACATGCCAGAATTTCAGACTCCCAAAAGAAAAGCAGGTATTCAGCCCAAACCACATCGTCTGTACTAACAGTGTAGGCATAGGCACTGTGCGCCTCGTCCCCAGATGCCCGCTCACAGCCTATCTCATAAGCAGGCCTTTCTAAGAACCAGCAGTCAGTTGTGCTGTTTTAACTCTGCTCTGCAGTCTGGCAGAGTACAGTACAGAATAAAATGGGTGATTTTAGTGATGGAATCTAGTCGTTCAGTGAAATAGATCTTAGCTACCCTAGACACTGAACTTACCAGCTTAGGAGTTTGGGTGGGTTTCTTCATTCTCCAAGCTTCACTTTCTTTATGTTTTATTTACATTTGAAAGATACCAACATGAAAATGGAGGTGTACTAGAATATGAAATGTTTATGAAATTTTTGTCTTGTTTATAAGCATCCATCCAATTTGAATTGCTTGAAAACTTATTTGCACATTCTGTTTTTAAGGGAAGAAGTAAAAGAGCAACTAGAAAAGAAAAAGAAAGGCTCCAAGGCTTTGGCTGAATTTGAAGAAAAAATGAATGAGGTTTGTAAATAGTGCCTTTTTATTTTTTTTTAAAAGGGGTTATTTTTAATAGAAATGAAATTTTTATATTTTTCATTTTTTATAAGCCAAAAATTTCAGCATAGTTCAGAAAGCTCTGTATTTTAGAGGTGTTAACCATTATATTAAGTGCAGGTCTGTACGTAAATATATGTTTTCTTTTTAAAATGCAGGATAACCATCTTGTAGTGACTTTAGCCATCTTCTCCTGTACTCCTCTCCTTACCCTGGGATTTCTGTAGTGACATTACTTGTCTGCAAAATTGTGTGTGGTTTTTCAACCATAGTATAGACTAATTCACCTTGTATAGTTTGGAATGAGAATCTAGCCATCGTTGTTGAAAAGCACGAAGACCTCAGTGATAACACGTGTTCCTGCTCTCAGTCTGCGGTGGAGACTCCCTTCCCTGAATGTCCCCAGGGAAGAGCGAGGGGAGGCTCGGGTGATAGGGTCAAGGATGGTACCGGAGTCTCTCTTGACTGCGTGGAGCTGTAACGGGGGAGAGGTGCCAGAAGGAAGGAAGGAGACTGGTTCTCTCCCTACAGCAAGAGTGTGAGAAGGGGAAGAGCCCTGATGGTGTCTATAATCTTTTTTGCAGAACTGGAAGAAAGAACTAGAAAAACACAGAGAGAAATTATTAAGTGGAAGTGAAAGCTCGTCTAAAAAAAGACAGGTAACACCATTTTCACTTTATTGCTATTCTTAATCTTATAGTTGGATTTTCATAATAATGCTGTATACTAATATTAATAAATGTATTTGAAAACTGTGACCAACTTACTAAGACTTAGACATTTAATTTGTTTCCGTTTAGAGAAAGAAAAAAGAAAAGAAGAAATCTGGTAGGGTGAGCAAAATTTTTCCATTTTTGTAAATATTACAATCAAGAGTCTACAAAAAGTGAGAATAATTGATTGAAGCTGTAAACCCGTGGTAATGGAGACTCAAGATGAGTCAAGGAGCCAGAGAGGCTCTGGTTGCAATGGGATTTTGTTCTATCAGTGATGCAACCCACTCACTCCTGTTGCTCTTTAAAGAGGACAGCCGTGACCATGTACCACTGGGTTGTTGAATGGGGGGACGACATTTCACATTTAATAGTTGCATTTTATAGAAATGCCATCTGTTTCTCTGACAGTAGATTGATTTTGATAAGTATTTGAGGATTTTAGTGAAAGACAAAAATTCCCACATCTCACAATTTGTAATTGTCTTGTGCTTGGTCAAGTATTCATCTTCTTCTTCATCGAGCTCTGATTCTTCCAGCAGTTCTTCGGAGTCTGAAGATGAGGTGAGGCTCGCTTTGTGATGCTTTGTGAAGTTGTCTCTCTAATTACTTTCTTTTTTGAAAGATTTATTTAATTTATTTGAAAGAGTTAGAGAAAGAGAGATCTTCCATCTGCTGGGTCACTGCCCAAATGGCCACAATGGCCAGCACTGCCAGACAGAAGTCAGTAGCCAGAAGCTTCATCCAGGTCTCCCTTGTGGGTGCAGGGGCCTGAGGATTTGGGCATCTGCTGCTGCTTTCCTAGGCCATTAGCAGGGAACTGGATCTGAAGGAGACTCAAGCCAGCACCATGTGGGATGCTGGCATCACAGGTGGCAGCTTAGCCCATTAGGCCACAACCACAGCCTCTCCATAACTTGTTTGATGTCAGGAGGACACCTGTTGTGAAGTATCTCTTAGAAATCTTTACTTCCAGGCATGGCTAGTTGTCCATAACTTAGGGTGTGCTGACATGAACAGATGATAGTGGATATTTAAATACTAGCATATGTATATTCCTTAGATTTCTAAATTTGTTTATTTAAAAATGCCAGAAGAAATGGATTGGGAAAATCAAAGGCTGCTTGACTAGATCTGTAGACATTACATGATGTCTACAATTAGACATCAAATCACTTGACTTTTTTGTATCAGAAAACTGATGTTACATTTTATATTAATCATTATGGAAAAATACAAATTTACAAGCTGGTCCTTTCATTAAGTTGTAGTTTAATAAAGTTTTGGTACTAATAAGATGCTTGAATTATATTTTTGAAACAGCAAATTTTCAAAAATCTTTTATATAGGATAAGAAACAAGGAAAAAAAAGAAAGAAAAAGAAGAACCATTCACATAAATCTTCCGAAAGCTCCACGTCGGAAACTGAATCAGACAGTAAGGTAAAACTTCTTAAATTGTTAATATTCTGGATACCAAAGATAATTAATAAAGTTTTCTTTTTGGTGTTTCCTGTCTTCTGTTCTCAATTTAACAATGATACTGTCCAATTTTTGTACTTTAGTGTTCTATACTATTTAATTGACATACTTAGTATCATAACAAATCATTAACACATCTCAAATACTTACATATACATATCCACATTTCCAGGACAACTTACATTATTTCCCCCCATTTCCGTAAACTTGTAGTTCAAGTGCTGGTGCTGTCACATAGTGGATAAAGCTGCTTTCTGCAGTGCTGGCATTCCACACAGGTGCCAGTTCAAGTCCCGGCTGCTCCACTTCCAATCCAACTCTTTGCTATGGCCTGGGAAAGCAGTAGAAGGTGGCCCAAGTGCTTGGACTCCTGCCCCTGCGTGGGAGACCCAAAAGAAGCTCCTGGCTCCTGGCTTCAGATCAGTCCAACTCTAGCCATTACAGCCATTTGGAGAGTAAACCAGCAAATGGAAGATCTTTCTCTCTCTCTCTGCCTCTCTGTAGCTCTGCCTTTCAAATAAATCTTTCAGGAGAAAACAATTTTGCTTAAATTCATATGACTGGTATTAGAATTGGAAGCTGTATCTAAATCTTGTGATATCTGGTTCAGTGTCTTTTTTCTTTTTATTTATTTATTTATTTGAAACAGAGTTACAGAGTAGCAGTAGCAGAGAGAGAAGTTTTCCATCTGCTGGTTTGCTCCCCAAATAGCCACCCAGTCGGAGCTGGGCCGCTCTGAAGCCAGGAGCTTCTTTCAGGTCTCCCACAAGGGTGCCAGGGGTCTAAGGACTTGGGACATCTGCTGTTTTCCTAGGCCATTGCAGGGAGCTGAATCAGAAGTGGAGCAGTCGGGACTCAAATTGGTGCCCATGTGTGATGCCAGCACTGTAGCTGACAGCTTTACCTGCAACACCATGGCACTGGCCCCAAGACCAGTGTCTTTTCTACTGTACTATATATAATTTGTTCTCTCCCAACCAGAAATGTTTGCAATTACCTTCTTTCCCCAGTGAGAGTTCTGGAAAAATTCCTGACATCTAGAAGGTACACAGTAAACGTTGGTTTTCTCTTTGTCTTTTAAAGAAGGGCAGCAGTTACTGAGTGTCTACTATGTGTTGAGTGAGCACTGTTCTAAGCACTTGACTGTTAACTCATTTAATTCTCTCACGGATTATATGAAGTAGTTATTTGTTAGTCCATTTTATGGATAAGAAAACTGAGGCTCAAGGGTGGTTAATAGCCACGAGTAAGGGATTCAGAGGTAGAAATTCTTGCCCTTGCTCCTGATGAGGAACGTGGGCACATCAGACTTGTGAATGTCTGAGCCCTGTGAACTGAAACTCCAGTTCGTGGAACTACAAGGTAAAAATCCCTATTTTAAAAGAAACCACATGAGTATTCCAGGCAGTGTCTGTCAATTCAAACAAACATAGGTTTGATACACAGCTAGATTAATGAAGAAACCCATTTGCTTATAAGCAGATATACTCATAATGTACATGTCTTGTCTGTTATCAAACTAATATGCTGATATTAGAGTAAACTTTTTAACAAAGAGCAAGTCACGTTTTTAGTGTTTTTGTCCTTGTTCTATAATGCTGTATCCTTTACATTTAAAGTTGATCTATATATGTTTGTTTGTTTAGGACAGTTTAAAAAAGAAAAAGAAATCAAAGGATGCAATGGAGAAAGAAAAGGTAACTATAGTTTTACATTGCCTTAAGATAGTGTATCACATAACACTTAATTGATTTTTTGTCCACGATTGAGATTTCTTGATATGAGACTCAGCACACATACATTTCAGTTTGTACACAATTCTTAACATACATATTAAAAATCTAAAAAGCCACAAATGTTGTTCCTGTTTTAAAAGTTATTCCAGTGACTTTCCAACTTCAAATTTGGGAGCAACTCTTCCTTAACAGGCTATCAAGTACCAATATCTTCAAATGTTGCTATTATATAATTTCACAATTTAATATCATGTATGTGACATACTCAGATTTTCAGTCTTTGACAGCACAAAATCATTAGGAAAACTGGACTACCCTAACCAGAGATGTTACAGAGCACACATGGTTCTTATAGATCAATAAGGAGCAATTTTCTGTAGAAAACAGTTCTAAATAACATGGGAGAAGTAATGGAAAGTATTCAAGACAGATTAAATGCACAACTGAGACTCTAAGTTGCCATTCAGCATGTGTAGTAGGATGTTAAAACCACCCTCCACCTATGGAATGTTAAGCTGACATCGAAGACAATCAAAACTCCCATAATTCAATATGCCTCTATTTTTCTAGTACCAAAAAGTAAACCACCAGCAAGTTATTTCACCTCTAAAAAACATTTACACTTTAAAAATGGTATGAAATAGGCATCCCTTCCCCCCCAAAAAAAGAAACTTTTATTTAAGGAATACTAACTTCATGCATTTCATATACACAACTTTAGGAATATAGTGATTCTTCCCACTCTACCCGCCTTTCCACCCCTCCTCCTCCTCCTTCCATTCTCCACTAAGATCCATTTTCAGTTAACTTTACACACAGAAGACCAACTCTGTACTAAGTAAAGAGCTCAACAGTTTGCCAGGAGAGGAGGGAGGCGGGGGGGACTGTTCCTCAACAGTTGAGACAAGGGCTATTCTAAGTCATTGCATCTCAAAGTTAATTTCACTTCTTTATTTCTTTCTTTTTTAAGACACTTAATTAACTTTAAGGAAGCACCCAAGAATAATACATCTTTTGTGAGCATTCAGACATAACTCTTAACTTATGAGACAATAATATCTTCCATCTAATACACTAAAAAGAAATAAATCTTTGAGAACAAGTTTTACTGATAATTCTTATAATACAACTTTTTGAGGACAGAGGTCCTGCATGGGAAGTTAGTGCACAGTGACTCCTGTTGTTAATTTAACAATTAGCAGTCTTATGTATGACATTAGTGATCATCCAAGGCTCTTGACATGAGCTGCCTATGGAATCCTTTTGAACCCACAGACTCCATCAGTATTTAGACAAGGCCATAAGCAAAGTGGAAGTTCTCTCCTCCCTTCAGAGAAAAGTACCTCCTTCTTTAATGACCAGTTCTTTCCACTGGGGTTTCACCCACCAAAATCCTTCATGGAGGACATTTTTTGCCATAGTGTCTTGGCTTTCCGTGCCCGAAATGCTCTTGTGGGTTTTTCAGCCAGACCAGAACCCCTTAAGGGCTGTTTCTGAGGTCAGAGTACTACTTAAAGCAATTGTCATTCCAAGAGTCTGCTGTGAGGATTGCTTCCCACGTTGAAGCATTCCCTCCTTTTTAATTCTGTTAGTATTACCAGACACTTAATCCTATTCATATGATCACTTTAATACTTAAGATGGTATTTTTACCACCCAGCTTAAAGGGATTTGGGGTCCCATGGCAAATTTTTAAACTGTACCCTTAGAAGTAAGCCCATAAGGAATGTATGCAGAACTCTACAGCTTTACAGTAAAAACTTCATACTCTTCATAATTATAACTTTAGGAACATGGTGTCTTCCTACCATGCCTGTCCTTCCACTCATACTCCCACCTCTCTTCCTCCTCCCTCTCATTCTCATTATTATTTTTTACTAAGATCTGTTTTAAATTGACTTTATACACATATGATTAACTCTGTTAAGTAAAGAGTTCAACAAATAGTATTTAAAAAAAAAAAAAAAAGTCCCCAACAGTCAAGACAAGGGCTGTTGAAGTCATTGCTTCTCAAAGTGTCAATTTCACTTCTACAGATTGCCTTTTAGGTGCTCTAATAGTTATCACAGGTCAGGGAGTGTATACGGTATTTGTCCCTTTGGGACTGGCTTATTTCACTAAGTATGATGATTTCCAGCTTCATCTATCTTCTTTCAAATGACCGGATTCCCCCCCCCCCTTTTTTTTAACCACTGTGTAGTATTCCATGTACATAGCCCATAATTTCTTTATCCAGTCTTCAGTTGAAGGACATTTAGGTTGAGTCCGTGTCTTAGCTATGGTGAACTGAGTTGCAATAAGTGTGGGGGTGCAGATAACCCTTTCATATGCTGATTACATTTCCTGTGAGTGAATTCCCAGGAGTGGGATGGCTGGGTCATATGGTAGGTCTCTTCAGATTTCTGAGGTATCTCCATACTGTCTAACATAGTGGCTTTACCAGTTTGCATTCCCACCAACATGGATTAGGCTACCTATTTCCTTACATCCTCACCAGCATTTGTTGTTTGTATCTCTTTTGAGCTTCAAGAGATTTGTTTACTTTGCCTTTGTGGTATTTTATGTTGATTTAAAGAAATCATTTATTTGGATTTATTGAAAGATAAAATCAGAACAGTATTCCTGTACAAACTCTGAACTTGTATAGATTAAAATTATTTCAAGCTAAAAATATAAAGCAGTTTCCTCAAATCAATGTAAAAGAAGCAGCTTCTTTTAATTAAAAAACATGGGCTTCTTTTTCAAATTGAGTGTACCATAGGCAAATTTTGTAAATACTTATACTATTTTTTTTTAAAGATTTATTTGAGAGGCAGAGAAAGAGGTCTTCACCTGCTGGTTCATTCCACAAATGGCCACAGCAGCTAGAGCTGGGCCACTCAGAAGCCAGAAGCTACTTCCTGGTCTCCCATGTGGGTGCAGGGCCCAAGCACTTGGGCCATCCTCCACTGCTTTCCCAGGTGCATTAGCAGCGACCTGGATTGGAAGTGGAGCAGCTGGACTTCAGTCGGCTTAACCTACTACACCACAGCAATGACCCTATTATGTTTCCAGTGTTGTGCAAACACCATCTCTCTGAAGAACTTTTTCATTTTTTCGTAAACATACCCGTTAGGAGTCATTCCTGTTCTCTTTCTATCATCCTCTGGAAACCTCTCATCTGCTTGTGTCTCTGCGTTTCCCTCTTCAGGATATATCATGACATCTGCACTTTTTCAGCAGGTATAATGTTTGTCAAGGTTCATCTAGGCTGCAACCCGTATCAGCACTTTGTTCTTTTCTATGGTTAAATAATGTCCCATTGTATATATATGCCATATTTGTCCACTCATTCATCTGTTGTTAGACATTTGGGTTGTTTCTACCTTTTCACTACTATAAATAATGCTACTGAAAGCACATTTATAAACATGTCAGGTTTCTTTGTCAACATGTCTCTTTAGGTATATTAACTGAGCAATTTTATGTCAATTAAAGTACTGGACAAACACCACATCATAACCCAAGTTAGGATAATTCCAAGAATTTAAGAAATTCATATAATTTACCGTATTAACTGATCAAAGAAAAACATTATTTCAGTAGTTGCCAAATCAGTAATTCATCGATTCCTGATTTTCCAAAACATTAAATGCGGTTGCTTTCATGTTAAAAGCAGATTTGGGGGCAGGTGTTGTGTTGCAGGTTAGGCTGCTGCTTGAAAGGCCCGCATCACATATCGGAATGCTCCCAGCTACTCCACTTCTGATCCAGCTTCCTGCTAATGCGTCTCAGAAGGCAGCAGGTGATGCTCAAGGACTGGGTCTGCCGCCCACGTGGAAGACCCAGATGCAGTTCTTGGCTCCCGGCGTGGCCTGATCCACTGCAGTTGATGTGGGCATTTGGGGTTGTGCCAACAGATGGAAGATCTCTCTGTCTTTGTCACTGCCTTTCAAATAAACCTTTCTTTAAAACTTAACAAATTAGAGGACCGGTGCAGTGCCGTAGTAGGCTAAGCCTCCACCTGCGCACTGGCATCCCATATGGGTACTGGTTTAAGGCCCAGCTGCTCCTCTTTTGGTGCAGTTCTCTGCAATTGCCTGGGAAAGCAGAAGATGGCCCAAATGCTTGGGCCCCTGCACCCACTTGGGAGACCCAAGAAGCTCCTGGCTCCTGATCGGCTCAGCTCTGGCTGTTGTAGCCATTTGGGGAATGAACCAGCGAATGGAAGATCTTTCTCTCTGGTTCTCCCTCTCTCTGCAACTCTACTCTCAAATAAATGAATAAAATCTTCAAAAAAAAAAAATTTAAAAATGTATGGGGTTGGGCATTTGACCTGAGAGTTAGGACACCTGTAAGATGCCTGTGTCCTGTGTCATGGTGCCTGGGTTTGAAGCCTGGTTCTGGTTACTGACTCCAGCTTCCTACTAATGCAGACCCTTGGAGGAAGCAGTGATGGCTCAAGTAGTTGGATGCCTGCCACCTGTAAGGGAGCACTGGACTGAGTTCCTGGCTCTTACTGGCCTGGCCCAGTTTGAGGCCGTTGCAGGCATTTGGGAGTAGGCTAGCAAATGAGAGTGTGCTTTCTCTGTCAACTTGTGTCTCTGCCTCTCAATTAATTAATTTTAAAAAATTAATAAATATATGTATGAGTCTATAATCTGGTAATAGACAAATGTGAAATACTAAAACAGCATTGTAATTTTGAAATTCTTCAAACTATAAATGCAGAGTAATATATATAATAAATAAGTACCTGTATACATAACAGCTAGAATTAACAAAGTGTTTACACTTGCTGCAGACCTTATCTTTTGTTCTGTTTTTTAAATCTCCAAACCTCTGTCCTCCCTTAGAGGCAGCTGGCACTCCTCAGGGCCGAATGCACCCCAGCGAGGTCGGGTTTAGAGGTGTGAAAACGCAGCTAGAGCAGGACAGAGAGGTGACCATTTTTGTAATATTGTGGTAGGGAAAGCCTGCGCCTCAAACCTCAGAAACTGTGATCATACATTTCTTAATACATATATTTTTTCCAAATTTTGAACAGGCATATAAAAATTATACATGTTTGTGGGATACTGAGTGATGTTTCAGTGCATATATTATGTAATAATTCAAGAGATAAATATCTCCTCTAACATTTGTTTATGGTGAAAACATCCAAAATCCTCTTTTCTGGTTTTGTTTTGTTTTTAATAGGAAAATTACATAATATATTAACAACAGTCACCTTGCTGTGGGACCACAGAACTTCTTATTCCTATCTAGCTATAACCTAGTACTTATTAATCAACCTTCCAACCCTCCCTCCCCTTGCCCTTTCATTAACCAAATATCAAAATGGCCAGATTTGATTATAAAATTAACCTGTGAACAAAGTTTAATGAACAAAAATTTCTAGGATTACATAAGACAAAAATTCAATGATCTTAAAAAAATACCACACACAGAAAAATTAGAACAAAGCATATAGTTAGACCTTCCTTTTTTTAAAAAAAAAAAATTTTATTTGAGAGGTGTTTATAGACAGACAGAGAGACAGAGAAAAGTCTTCCATCTGCTGGTTTACTCCCCAAATAGCCTTAACAGCCAAAGCTGAGCCAATCAGGAGCCAGGAGCTTCTTCTGGGTCTCCCACGTGGGTACAGGGGTCCAAGCACTTGGGCCATCTTCTGCTGCTTTCCCAGGCCATACGAGAGAGCTACATTGAAAGAGGAGCAGCCTCTGCACCCCATGGGAGACCAGGAAAAGCACCTGGCTCCTGGCTCCTGCCATCGGATCAGCGCAGCAGCCGCGGCGGCCATTGGAGGGTGAACCAACGGCAAAGGAAGACCTTTCTCTCTCTCTCTCTCTCTCTCTCTCACTGTCCACTCTGCCTGTCAAAAAAATAATAAAAAAAAAAAGAAAAAGAAAAAGGAGCAGCCGGGACTAGAATCAGCACTGGCTCCAGACCTTGCCTTTTTTTTTTTTTTTTCCTGTGTTTTTTTAAAGATTTATTTATTTATTTGAAAGGAAAAGTGATAGAGAAGGTGAGAGAGAGAGATCTTTAATCCACTGATTCACTTCCCTAATGGCTGCAGTGGCCCAGGCGGGTCCAGGCCAAAGCCAGGAGCCTGGAAAGCCATCCATGTTTCTGATGTAAGTGGCAGAGGCTCAAGCAGTTGGGCCCTCTTCTGCTTTCCCAGGTGCATTAGCAGGGAAACTGGATAGAAAGCTGAGCAGCCAAGACTTGAGCCAGGGTTGGTATTATGGGATGGCCCAAGTGCTTGGGTCCCTGCCTCCCACATGGGAGACTGGATGAAGCTCCTGGCTTTAGCCTGGCTTGGCCCTGGCCCTTGCAGCCATTTGGAGAGTAAACAAGCAGGTGGAAGAGCTCTGTCTCTCTCCCTCTCTTTCTCTAACTCTGCCTTTCAAATAAATAAATGAATCTTTAAAAAATAGGAAAAAAAGGATTACTGGGAAGAATGAGTTCCAAATGGCATGTTTTTTGGTTTTGTTCTGGTCTTTGAAAATTTATTTACCTACTTGAGAGACAGTCACAGGCAGAAATAAAGATGGATTTTTCATCTGCTGGTTTACACTCCAAGTGACCGCAATGGCCAGAACTGGGTCAGCACAAAGCCAGGGACCTCATCCAGGTCTCCCACATGGGTGTCAGGGGCCAAGCACTTGGCCCATCTTGTGCTGCTTTCCCAATTGCATTAGCAGAGATCTGGATCAGAAGTGGAGCAGCCAGACTTGAACTGAAGCCCATATGTAATGCTGTTGCTACAGGAGCAGCTTAGCCCATTGCACCGCAGTGCTGGTCCCCAAACAGCAGGTATTTGTGTAAAGTTATCACCATCCATATAGCGAGATGTATAATCTGTAATTGTGGGTGCATTTTCTTAAAATGAACATTTATTGTTTCAGCTAAAATAATAAAGCTCTGCAGAAACAAATCAAAATCATATAATCTAACACATACATAGATCATCATTAGTTTTATTTTCTATATTATTTTCTTTTGAGTTTAAATCTTACGTAGGTCTAATAATCTTAACATTTCACCATACTTGCTTTGGATGTTTTCAGGTATCCGTGTACTCTTCCCAGTCTTCTCTCTTCTTCCAGAGTTAGTAATTTTCTCAGCATTAAAAATACTTAAGAAATAAAGATTATCTTTAGTGTGACTTTTAAGACACTAAAGGAATTACTGTGTAGAGATCATTTGGATCATACAGATGATTGCCTATTGATTGTCTTTGCTGTAGCACTAGGGCTGTCTGATCCAACTCTAGATAGAAACAAAAGAGTTAGAATACAAAGGACTTAAATCTGAAATCATCTATGTGGTTTCTTAGGAGTCTTTAAAATTCTATCATGTGGCTGGCACCATGACTCACTAGGCTAATCCTCTGCCTGCGGTGCCGGCACCCTGGGTTCTAGTCCTGGCCAGGGCACCGGAGTCTGTCCCGGTTGCTCCTCTTCCAGTCCAGCTCTCTGCTGTCGCCCGGGAACGCAGTAGAGGATGGCCCAAGTGCTTGGGCCCTGCACCTGCATGGGAGACCAGGAGAAGCACCTGGCTCCTGGCTTCAGATCGGCACAGCACACCAACCATAATGGCCATTTTGGGGGGTGAACCAACGGAAGGAAGACCTTTCTCTATGTCTGTCTCTCACACTAACTGCCTATCAAAAAAAAAAAAATTTCTATCATGTATAATTTAAGAAAATAAAGAGACTAATACATCAAAATGGATAGAGTTTTTTCAAATTATTTGATAAAAGCTTTGCATTACTGGAATTAAACACATGTTTGTGTTATTTTTAGACATTTGTAAGATGAAAATGAATTTTCTGATAACTGGAAAAATTAAAACAAAGAACTTAGAAACAAATTTGTATGGCATATGACATCTTTTTATATCAAGAGATATGTATTTATTTCCTATAGGACATTAAAGGACTCAGCAAAAAAAGAAAGATGTATCCTGAAGATAAGCCTTTGTCATCTGAATCCTTATCAGAATCAGATTACATTGAGGAGGTACGTATATGATCAAATCCTTTTCCTCCACTTCATAAAGTTACTGATTTGATAAATATAAACTAGTGAAAAAGAAATACTTACAAGTATTTTTCTAGGCCGACACCACGGCTCACTAGGCTAATCTTCCGCCTGCGGCTTCAGCACACCGGGTTCCTGATCGGGGCACCAGAGTCTGTCCCGGTTGCTCCTCTTCCAGTCCAGCTCTCTGCTGTGGCCCGGGAGTGCAATGGAGGATGGCCCAAGTGCTTGGGCCCTGCACCCACATGGGAGACCAGGAGAAAGCACCTGGCTCCTGGCTTCGGATGGGTGCAGTGCGCAGGCCATAGAAGCCATTTGGGGGGTGAACCAAGGGAAGGAAGACCTTTCTCTCTGTGTGTGTCTCTCTCTCACCGTCGAACTCCTGCCTGTGAGAGAAGAAAAAAAAGACAACAAAAAAGAACTTTTCTAATATGGAAAAATGAAAAAAAAAGACAAGTTTTAACAAATTTTGCACTTTTCCAGAAGATTATTATGTGACTGTTACTTTGATAATTAGCCATATTTGCACATACCTTCCCAGTCTGAGATTTCTATTTTTACTTGTTTTATTTATATCATACTCTCACTCTGATTACATAATGATATTATATAATGTACTATAAATGGAAACCAAGCATTTCCTTATACAGTTAGAATACAGCATTGCACATACTCCCTCAACTAAGCTGACATTCTTGTTTTTATTTTTCTTTTGAACTGTGATTTGATCGGTTGGATACAGTGAAGAAGAAATGTTGGCCTGACCTCAGTTTCCTGTGTATAAAATAAAGAAGGAAAGTTATCACTGTCGTCCTATTTAGTTATAGCAGTCCCTTTCTCAGCTTTTGTACTCCTGCAATTAGAGTTCATACTTGGTTAGCTTCAGGTCTGTTTCTTTCTTGGCCATGGATTCCTCAACTGTAAAAAAGGAGCCTATCATACTATATTTATTATAAGGACTAAAAGAAACAAGAAGCTATGGAAAGTTTCACATGATACCCGGGGCGGAATAAAATGAAGTTTACGTAATTCACAATTTTTGCTGTTACAATAACATCTAACTAAAGGTTGCACTTGTCATTGACTTGAAGTTGCATCTTCCTTTATGGATCGACATGTTCAGCCCCCAACACTATAATTTACCCAAGAAGTCAAGTGTCTGGCCCTTGATTACAAGAGGTAGTAGGAGATTGCCGCAGGAGCTGGTCTTTCTGATTCCTTCTCCCTCATACTGGCTTCCTCCTAAACCAGCCCTGCTCGTCTCTGTTCTGTTCCTCATCCCCCCACTCCCTCAATCCTGCCCTTGTGTGTGTTTGTGCCTGTCTTCCTTCTGACTGCATTGTACATGGGACACAGTAGCGGCCCTCACTCTGCTGCGCCTCCATTTTCTATTTTGTGATATCCCCTGAACTTAAATTCATAGTAAATACCAGCTACACAAATTTTCATAGTACTGTCCTCTGAAAAATATGAACAAAAAAAGTGAATAACATTTTAAATTATGTTTCAGTGTGTAAATGCTTGAGTACAGTAGAAGACAAAATCTTAAGACAAAACCAAATGTAGGCTGCAGCAGGAGCATAACATGTGCCCTTCAAAGACCATATAGTGGGGGACAGGTGTTTGGCCTGAGAGTTAAGAGGTCCACACACCGTATCAGAGTGCCTGGGTTTGATATCGGTCTTGGGCTCCTGACTCCAGCTACCTTCTCATGCAGACTTTAGTAGGCAGTGGTGGTGACTGAAGTCATTGGGTTCATATTCCCCATGTTGGAGACTTGATTTGAGTTTCATCTCCCTGCCTCAGTCCAGCCCTGTCTGTCCCAGGCATCTACAGTTAGCCACGTGAACAGCTATTGTGTTGAACACCACACAGTAAGAAAGTTGCACTGTGTTCTAGGACTTCCCCTCGAGGGTAGATGACATCTCTTTTTTTACAGGTGATGAAACTGAGATAGCATTCAGATTTTGTCTGTCTTATTTCAGGGCTCATGTTTTTTCCCACTGTACACTTTGCTTTTTTAGGTTCTGAAAAGAAACATAAGAGAAATCCTCTAGATATTTTAAATCTTGATTTTCTTTATGTATTTCTCATTGAAATAAAGAGTAATTTAACTGCCATTTGAATGTCAAAATGTTTTTACATATAAATTTTAAAGATGCAAGATATATTAGGGCAAGAAAAAAAATGCCTTGAGTGCAAATTTACATACTTCTGTTCTACATGAAAATTTACTTTCAGGTACGCGCCAAAAAGAAGAAAAGCAGTGAAGAACAAGAAAAAGCAACAGCAAGTATCTCTTACCTTTTTACGTGACAACAGTTGGCTGTTTAGGTTTAATATCTAGTGGGTTGTGGCAAAGCGTGATTGGATTTATTGGGGCTGAGTAAATACTGGGAAAGGTGTGGTGGTTGGCCGTTTGACTTACTCGTTGGACAAAGTCAGAATGGCTCAGGGAGAAGGGAGAGTACCCTGGTAGCAAGCATCTACTGCTTCCGTTTTAGTATTTCACCGCCAGTAATACCAAACTTTGGGGCCAGCGTTGTGGCGTAGTGGGTAAAGCCACTGCCTGTGAAGCCAGCATCCTGTATGGATTCCAGTTCTTGTTCTGGCTGCTCCGCTGCTGATCCAGCTCCCTGCTAATGCACCTGGGAAAGCAGTGGAAGATGGCCCCAGTGCTTGGGCAGATAACAGATCTCTCTATCTTTGTTTTCTTTCTGTAACTCTGCCTTTGAAAACTTTCATGTAACTTTTTTTTCCCCTTTGTAAATATTTATTTATTTTAAGGCAGGCAGAGTGAGAGAGAGTGAGAACTTCCATCTTTTGATTTACTCCCCAAATGTCTGCAGCAACCAGGCTGAGTCAGGCTGAAGCCAGGAGCCAGCAACTCCAACCTGATCTCTGACTTGAAAAACAAAGTCCCAAGTACTTGAATTACCTTACTTCTCAGGTGCATTACAGGGAGATACATTGGAAGTAGAGCAGCTGGGACTCAGGCTGGCACTCTGATATGGGAAACCAGGGTCTTACGAGGCAGTTTAGGGGCTGGCACTGTGGCAGTGGTAGGCTAAGCCTCCGCCTGTCCTGGCTGCTCCATTTCTGATCCAGCTCCCTGCTGGGGCCTAGGAAAGCAGTGGAGGATGGGCCCCTGCACCTACATGGGAGACCCGGAAGAAGCTCCTGGCTTTGAATCAGTCCAGCTCCAGCCATTGTGGGCATTTGGGGAGTGAACCAGTAGATGAAAGACTCTCTCACTGTCTCTCCCTCTCTCTCTAACTCTGCCGCTCAAATAAATAAATTAATCTTTAAAAAAAGGAAAAAAGGCAATTAAACCCACTATACCACAACTCCAGTCCAAAGGAATTGTTTTGTTTGAAGGCAGATAGAAACCGTTTGCCTCATCTAGTGGACTCTGAATGCTTGCACTAGCCCTAGCCCGGGTGGAAGCCAGGAACTCAGTCCAGGTCTCCCATGTGGGCAGTAGGAATCCAATTACTTGAGCCATCACTACTGCCTCCCAGGGTGTGCATTAGCAGGAAGCAGGAATAGGGAGCTGAGCTGAGGCTCAAACCCAGGCCCTCTGACAGGGAATGCAGTAGTTTGAACCAGCGACTTAACTAGCAGGGTAAATACCCACCTCTGTTTTAAGGATTTTAAACAAAAAGATAACCTGAAAACTTTACTTTGTAAAATGCGTTGGAAGTGAGTGGACGTGTATACTACAGTGATGGTAATACGGATGGCCTGCATGGACGGGTTTGTACTTAGATGGTAGAACTCGCTTGGTACTTTGTGGAGAATGGAGTAAGAGAGCACAGTCAGAGAGCTTCGGTTCTTTGATTTCAGCACAATGTCAGGTTAGTGCCATTTACTGAGTTGACTAAGAGTTTGGAGAGGAAAAGTAAGCGTTTGATCTGGTAATTGTAGAAATGATTATGCCTACAAACCGTCCAGGGAGGCCGGTGCTGCGGCTCACTAGGCTAATCCTCCGCCTGCGGCGCCGGCACCCCGGGTTCTAGTCCCGGTTGGGGCACCGGATTCTGTCCCGGTTGCGCCTCTTCCAGGCCAGCTCTCTGCTGTGGCCAGGGAGTGCAGTGGAGGATGGCCCAAGTGCTTGGGCCCTGCACCCCATGGGAGACCGGGAGGAGGCACCTGGCTCCTGGCTTCGGATCAGCGCAGCGCACCGGCTGCAACATGCTGGCCGTAGCGGCCACTTGGGGGGTGAACCAACAGCAAAAGGAAGATCTTTCTCTCTGAATCTCTCTCTCACTAACTCTGCCTGTAAAAACAAACAAAAACGTCCAGGGAGTCTAAAAAGGCGCGTGCAGTCCTAAGTTTGAAGCAGGGGACTGGCTTTAAGAAGTCTGGCTACTGTTGGTACTTAGGTGGAATTTAAAGCATGCAGCTAGGAAAGGAAGAGCCAGCACCAGGAGTGAAGAGGTCCCTGTGACAGAGGAGACCTGGAAGCTGAGAATTTGAAGGAGAGTGCCCAGCTGTCCTTGTATCAAGTAGCATCCTAAACCTAAGTGTAGTTTTAGAACCCAAGTTACACAGTTTTAAACCCTGGATAAAATTCCTTGTGTACTTAATCATATGTTGAAAAAAGAACATTGGCAGATGGTAGCCTAGTACCACGAAGTGGCAGAGGCCTTTGCGAGAGAGATCGTGGGTGTCCTAGCGGATGAGCTGGAGAGGAAGCGCTGCTCTCCCGCTGCCCCTGGGTGTCCGCAGCAGCAGGGCCTCCCTCCCCCTTTCAGAGCATCTGCGTGTGGAGGGTTCCGCCGCCGCCTCCTCCAGCGGAAGCAGTCAGCAGAGGCGGAGCCCAGCGGTCTCCCGGCCCTCTGCGCCTGGTGATCTAACGACTCTCCTGGGCGGCAGTGGCACTTACCTCTGCAACAGAAGCATCTGCTCTGCTAAGCAAGAGGGACTTTCAGCTGCGCCTCGGTGCCCTGTGCTGTTAGTTAGTGATTGAAGCAGTGCTTCCAGTCTGGCCAGTACCCGATACCTGCGCTCCTGTTTTCTTAAAAACAGAGTATTTTTGTTCTCTCTGGAAACTGTTTTACAGAACACTATGTGCTATGGTGCAAATACTCCTTTGTGTAATGGCAGTTGCTTTTACCTTTAAAATCACAGAACATTGGAGGCTGGCACTGTGGCATAGCAGGTAAAGCCACTGTACAATGCCAGCATCCCATAAGGGTGCCGGTTCATGTCCCAGCTGCTTCTGATCCAGCTCCCTAATAATGGCCTAGGAAAGCAATGGAGGATGGCCAAGTACTTGGGCCCCTAACACCCACGTGGGAGACAAGGGTGAAACTCCTAGCTTCAACCTAGCTCAGTCCATTGAGGGAGTGAGCCAGAGAATGGAAGACCTATCTCTGTTTCTCTTCTAACTCTGCTTTTCAAATAAATAAATAAGTCGTCTTAAAAAAAGTTATAGAACGTGAAATATAGCAATTTATAGCATGATTTCAACTGAATTTATTTTATACAGGAAGTTTTGTTAGAAGCCATGTTAATATGCTAATGACTTATGAGTCTCTTCCTGTCTTGCAAAATCAACAAAAACTCTTAGTCTACATTTGATGCTGGGTGTTGAGACTTCATGAGAAATGTCTTGAACAGTTTTCTTGGCTGCATGCATTGTTTGAAATGTAGTTGCTTAGAAATATAGTAAAGATGGATTTAATTTCCATATTTTGATGTAGTAATAATGTAATATGGGATTATCTTTACAGGAAAAGACAAAAAAGAAAAAGAAGCATAAGAAACACAGTAAGAAGAAGAAAAAGAAGGCTGCAAATTCAAGTCCTGACTCGCCATAACATCAAGAAAAATCAGGATCCCTTATAAGAAAGTGCAATGTGTAAGGAAATTTCAACTGTGAAAACTACGGCATAGTTAACTAAAATGCATGAACTTTCTTGTTTTTAGAATTACTCCTGCAGTAGCCACTCAGATGCCACTGTGTGAAAGGGCCGTGATTGTTGCCTGCTGCCTGACACCTCTTTTCTCTCTTCCAGTGCTCGATAACTCTGGGAGATAAGACACTGCAGTCGTACCTGGTGGTTAAGATACTTGGGAATGAAGCTAACAGTTTTGACTAGAAGTTTCTGGTAATAAGTCAACAGAAAACACTCTGGATACATCTTGTAAGATGTAATCAGAAATGACCAGATGATTCTAGTTAAAACTTTTAAAGTAGGGATTCCATTGATACTCCAGAATCCTTACTCTGTAGATAAGTGTATTTTAATTTTGCCCCTTGTATACTTTTATTGACCTGGGGAAGGAGCTTTTAGGGTTGGGAGGGGGGATTGCTATCTCTTTAGCTAGCAGAATAGCGTGCCTTTGGTCCTCCACATCCTCTTTCTGTGGACACAGTAGCCATGCTTCATGGGGCGGTCAGAGCTGCGGACAGCACTCTTGCCCTTTGCTGAGCTCATCCTGGGACTCTGTTGTAGGCTGCTCTGAGTGAGCCAGAGAAACAGGCCCTTTGCAGCATGAGAAAGCCCCCAAGTCTCTGGGATTTACCTCCACTTGAATAATAACTGAATATTTTTAGCATTAAAATGGATGTCATTTGAATTAATTTTGACTTCACTTTGGCTTTGGAAAGGAAATATTTCAAGTAGACACTGGTACTTTTTGAACTTGACAGCTAAAGATTCTAAAATGCATGTTTTATATTGCTAAGTTTTAACCAGTCAGGAAAATTTTATGTAACCAGTGATAGTTACTTATTTTTTGTATGAATTTCATTTAGGCTGCATTGTGTAGCTTTTGTTAACTTCTTACTCTTGCTTTCTTAAATTCATTACTCTGTTTAATGGCATACATGCCAAGATATTTAGCATGTACAAAGCAGGATTTTCTTTTTTTTTTTTTTAAACGGCTTCATATTGAAGCTGAGACTTAACCATAAACAAGTTGAGTGGCAGGCTGGTATGCTGTTGTCTTGTTACATAAAGCTATTGCCAGAATCTTAGTAAATATAATGTTTTAAAAGTTTGTTGTCTTTGTATATTAATAACAAATTATGACTAGTTAAATTTAAGTGATAATTACATTATTGTTCTTCCTGTGTCATATTTTACTAAGATTTTGTGCCTCATATCTCCTGCTGAACTGTTTATTAGGAATGTTAAAAAGAATTACGGATCATTTTCACTTTACAGTTTTTATATAATCAGGTAACACAAAATATAACTTGATTTACAATCCTGCCTGTTACAAAGGGTGTGCTGATTCTAGTGGTACGTGCACAGAACAGTTTGACACAAGAGGCTGAATAAATAGCTATTTTACCTACTGGTGGCTGTGTTCTTGCCTCCCTGTGGGTGCCTGTGATGTTCCAGAGACAGTTAGATAAGGACATATCCCTCAGTCTTTAGCTGTAAAAATAACACATTTCTTGAGAAATTCCTTTAAATTTTATGCTTAAAGCTGCATATTCTTTCCTAATAAAAGTGGTTTATACTTTTGTGCTCTTGAATGCAAGGACTGTTTCAAGGATACTTTGTATCCAGTAGAAAGTTTCTCAGAATTGTCCTTCTGAAAAAAGGTAAGAGGTAAGTTGCCAGGCTCCCTTTTGCTGTGGATGCAGAAGTCTGGCTTTCCTGGTTGGTGCCGTGTGTGATGATTATGTCCCTGGAGAAGCAGCTATTCATTTCGTTAGAGTGGGGGAGACGGTGAATTGGCAGAAAATTATATTCCAGATGGTGTCCTGATACTGTCCTGAACAGAATCCTAATAAGGCATGGGAGGAGTTTGATTTGGTATTACTATCAGTTATGTTTATTCCAAAGTTACTACAATGTACAAGCTAAGAACATCTATTCATCCACCAACTGTCCTTTTTCTGGAATAATTTTACACCAGTTCTGTAAACACAAGCCTTGTTATTTAGATAATGGAGCTGGGATAACTGACAGAAATTGATGAGTATCTGGACAGAAAAATTGGGTTTATCTCACATCTACCTTTTTCTGATTATTTTGGATACCGTTGTTTGCCTTTAATATATTTAGCTTAGTTGAATGGCAAAGCCACAGAGAATCTTCCATCAGCTGGTTCACTCCCCAGATGCCTCCAGTAGCATGGCCAGGCCAGGCCAAAGCCCAGAACTCCAAGTCTCCCATGTGGGTAGGTGACAGGGAACCAGTTACATGAGCCATCATTAGATGTACATAAGCAGGAAGCTAGATCAGCAGCAGAGGCAGGACTCGAACTCAGGCACTCCAGTATGAGATGCTGGTATCCTTAGCAGTGGTTTAACCATGCCTACAATGCCCACCCCCTCTGTAGCTAACATTTCAGCCATTTTAAAATTAAGTAAGGCTGGAAATGGTATTTAGCCTAGTGTTTAAAATACCGTGAGCCATATAATAGTATGTAGGTTTGATTCCCAATTCCAACTCGTGACTCCAGCTCCCTGCCAGTGCAGACCCTTGGAGGTAGAGTGACAGCTCTGGTGGTTGGGTCCCTACCACCCACACCCACATGGGGTACCTGGAGGGTTGTTTTTTGTTTGTTTGTTTTTTAAGATTTGTTTATTTGAAAGTTATAAAGAGAGGTAGACACAGAGAGAGAGGTCTTCCATCCGCCGGTTCACTCCCCAGATGGCCACAACGGCCGGAGCTGCACCAATCCAAAGCCAGGAACCAGGAGCTTCCTCCAGATCTCCCACGTGGGTGCAGGGGTCCAAGGACTTGGGCCATCGTCTACTGCTTTCCCAGGCCGTAGCAGAGAGCTGGATCAGAAGAGGAGCATCCGGGACTACAACCGGTGCCCATATGGGATGCTGGCACTTCAGGCCAGGGCTTTAACCCGCTGTGCCACAGTGCAAGCCCCATTCTTGATTCTTGCCTCCAGCCTAAACCCTGACTGTAGGATTATCTGCCAGTTGAGGACTGATTTTATGATAGGTAAGTTGAAATTTCAGAGTTCGTAAACGGTCACAGTTTCCTGTGTCTCCTGGCAAAGAACTGATGGAAACAGGTGCCTGTTCCGCTCCAAGGGATTGGTGGAGACACCCAAAACTTTAGATGTTGGAGAAGAATGTGGTGCTTTACATGGGCAAGTGTCATCTTTGGCAGAACCAATGGAATTTAATAAATGGGGGGGGGGGATCCTTGCCCTGAAAGACCTTAACATATAGTCTTGTGTGGTGACTGGTAATTCTCAAATAATGTGGTTTTAGACGTTGAAGCTACGGCCACTCTCACATTGTTGGGCACTTCGTTTTCCCTTGTGTGACCTCAGGAGAATTAGCTGCCCCCCAGAGACCACCCCATGGACTGCCCTTGTTTTTCTCCTCATCCAGCTAAGTTCCTCAGGCGCTGTAATTTATAGGGCCGCTTTCCAGTCCTGTGCTCATCTAGCCCTTCAGATCTGTCCTGCAGCTTCAGCCGTGCAGCATGTTACAAGACAGACCTGGTGTCACGGCTGCTTTCTGAACAGAGCTTAGTTCTTACAGCATTCGAAAGGAAATTTTGCATATTTTAAAAATAAGTCATCTTCTGATGAAATTATCTTTAGCGATCTTTACTTCTGGTTTGTGCTTTGGTACCATAATTTGTTATTTGAAAGCAATTCTCTCTAAAATAGTGTATAACTAAGAATATATACTGCTAGATCAGACTGCATTTCCTTTAGTCTTTGACAAAGATACTGTTTGAAAACAAAGGAATGAGTTGTACTCCTATTTCCAAAGCTTTTGCCTTCCTTAATTCCTAAGTAATGATCAAAAGTGTAGGCGCTGAGGCTTAAGCATAACTATCCATTCAAGCTTCTACACCAGTACAGCCGGATTATAATTTTTTTTTTTTTTTTTTAAGATTTATTTTGAAAGATTTACAGAGAGGGAGTGTCGCTCCCCCACTCGCGGAGGAACGACACTGGACGCTGTTTTCTTTCCCCGGTCCTTCCCGGATTTGCTGCCGCTCCTCCGCGGAGCGGAGGCTGCTCCACCAACGAGCTCTCCGACGGACTCTCTCCGGGGTCCCGGATGTTGTCTGTCTCCCCCTTTTATAGTCTTCTCCCACCAATCCGTGCTCTGCTGCCCACGTGCTGAGCACACCGCTCTCTTCCAATCAGAGGTTGGATCAGGAATCAGCTAATTGACGAAGCAGCTGTGTAAGATTTGTTTACTTCCTCTCAGCACCATATGATGGGAGATCAGACGCATAGAGTTAGTTTCAGTCCACAGTCTCAGTACTTATTGTCTCCCATTCGCCCCACCATCTTGCGGGAGACAGACCCTGCTCCCCACAGGGAGGGGCAGAGAGTTAGAGCTTAAATTATTGGTTTGTTCCCTAGATGGCTGCAACAGCCAGTGCTGGGCCAGACCAAAGCCAGGAGCTTTGTCAGGGTTTCCCACATGAGTGGCAAGACCTCGGGTACCTGGACCATCATCTACCGGCTCCCAGGTACACTAGCAAGAAACTGCCCTGGAAGCTCAGATGGTACTCAGACGCAGGCAGTCTGATGCGAACTGTTGAACCACCGTGCCACGAGGCTCGGCTCAGCTCTATAGTTTGTTTTTTGTTGTTGTTGTTTTGTTTTTTGTTGTTTTTTTTTTTTGACAGAGTGGACAGAGAGAGACAAAGGTCTTCCTTTTGCCGTTGGTTCACCCTCCAATGGCCAACACGACTGGCGTGCTGCAGCCGGCGCACCGCGCTGATCCAAAGGCAGGAGCCAGGTGCTTCTCCTGGTCTCCCATGCGGGTGCAGGGCCCAAGCACCTGGGCCATCCTCCACCGCACTCCCTGGCCACAGCAGAGAGCTGGCCTGGAAGAGGGGCAACCGGGACAGAATCTGGTGCCCCGACTGGGACTAGAACCCGTGTGCCGGCACCGCAAGGCGGAGGATTAGCCTAGTGAGCCGCGGCGCCGGCCAGCTCTATAGTTTTGAGAAATAAAAGTGAACTCAATAAGTTTGCAGTACTTTGAAAAGATAAGTAGCTAGTAGTATTTTAATCATATCTTGTACTTCATGGGTTTTAGACATAAATTATTAACTGTTTCTCCTCATAGAATTGAATTCTCAGTATAAATATGATCATGGCAGGGGCCGATGTACAGCAGGTTAAGGGGCTGTCTGGGATGCCAGCATCCCACATGGGTACTGGATGCAGTCCCAGCTGCTTGAGTTCTGATCCATCTCCTTACTGTGCACCTGGGAAAGCAGTGGAAGATGGCCCAAGTAGTTGGCCCCTATCACCTACATAGGAGACCCAAAAGAAGCTCCTAGCTCCTGGCTTCACCCTGGCCCAGCCCCAGCCATGGCCGCCATCTGGGATTGAAGCAGTGGGTAGAAGATCTGTGTGGTGTCTGTCTCCCCCTTTCTGTCTGTAACTCTGCCTTTTAAATAAATATTTCAAAAAAAAAAAAAAAAACAAAAAACTCCAAATGACAATCCACTTAATCTTTTAAGTTGTTTGCATTTGACAATCATAACTTTGCAAAGATTCAAAAATATTCTCTATAACAGACATCAAATATAGTTCATGAGCGTTTTGAAAAATCCCAGAGAAGTGTGGGTGTTTGGGGCAGGTGTTAAGATGCCCACATGTCGGAGGATGGCCCAAGTGCTTGGGCCCTGCACCCCATGGGAGACCAGGATAAGTACCTGGCTCCTGCCATCGGATCAGCGCGGTGCGCCAGCCACATCAGGCCAGCCGCGGCGGCCATTGGAGGGTGAACCAACAGCAAAGGAAGACCTCTCTGTCTCTCTCACTATCCACTCTGCCTGTCAAAAAAAAAAGATGCCCACATGCCATACCAGAATGCCTGGGTTCAGGTCCTGGCACTGCTTTGAATTCCAGCTTCCTCCTGCCACAGGCAGACTCTGGGAGGTACATGAGAGACTGAGATGGAGTTCCCAACCTTTGCTGTGGTGACCTTGGCCTGTTTTTTTAAGAGAGGAAAGAGCACGTGCGTAGGCCTAGAGGTGGCAGACCAGTATCTGTGGTAAACCAAATGGCTCAGTGTGTGTGTGTGAAGGGAAGGTCCCAAAAGTCAGAGTAAGCCAAGTCCTGCCCTGGAGGGGACGGAGCCAGGCTTGGATTTGAAGGACAGCAGTGCTGAGTCCACACATTGGGCCGCTGGGCATAAAGGTGGTCCACAGGTGGGGCCTGCCAGTCTGCTTTTCCTTCAGCCAGCCTGCTCTCAGGGTCAGGGTCACTACACATGAAGGACTTCCCCAGAGGGGCAGTGCTCTGGCACAGCAGGTTAAGCCACCTTCTACCCAACCTGCATCCCATGGGGGCTCCACTTCTGATCCAGCTCTAGCCATGTGACCATTTGGGGA